TTTTTTCCTTCAACTTAATGAGAAAGTAGCAAATGAACCCACTGAGCTTATTCATATTCAACTAATATTTATTGTCTGCTATGTGAGGCACTGAGGTGTATCACAAAGATATGTCACAATAGGAATAGAGGTCAGAAGAATGTGGATAAAGGGTTAAAGAATTACAGAAGAGACTATAATTTTTTTTTTCAGAATGGGTCAGACTTTGGGGTTAAAATAAAAATAGAAATACACATGGGCGATGTGGAAGAATGGATGCACATTTCAAAGTGCAGAATGTGCAAATGCAGAGATAAATGTTTCAGGTATAACAAAGTTAAGTTACACCTTAGGAGGTTAAGATGGTAAAGTTAAGATGACTTCCGTGCATCTCTTAGACAAAATTTTGCTAATTCTTGCTTCATTAAATGTTATTTTTTATTCCATTTTCTGTGCAATCTAGGCTAGATTGCCTTTCACTTTTCTCTTTCTCTCGTTATTGTCTTCATATATGTCTTTTACATTCTACTATAAACTGCTTGGAGACAGGTCCAAATAGTTTTCCTCTATTTGTCTTTGTGTTAAGAGTGAAGCATTTATTTATCTGGTAAAAACTGAGTTAGGTGATAAAAGTAACTAATTAGAGGAGGATCAGACATGTATACATGTTTTTGAAATAAAAAATAATTAGGAAACACTATGACAGTGTGGACAATGACATGAGAATAACACTTGAATGAGGAGCTAATAATCATTCCCATAAAAGAAAGGGATAAGACAAAGCAAAAAAGAGAGAAAATGGGTAACTTTGGCTATAAGCCAAGGATAGCTGGAAAAACTGAAAGAATAAATACTATATACATATTAATATGAAGATGTTTCATGAATAGGGTACAAAAATATTTTAAGAGCTGGTACTAGACTTCTTTAGAGAAGTAATTACTGGTTTTTAGAAAAAGCTACTTTGAATATAGAATGTGAGAACTAGAAGCAAGAATGATGCAGGAACAAAACAAAGATCATTGATACTCTATGAAAATAAATGAGAAGACCTCCTCTAATGTGGTTGATTCGACCTCCCTTTATAAACTCAGAAATGCTGGAATAAATTTATTGATATGTAAACTATAAACCTAAACAACTAAAAAAACAATAAAAAGGGAATTGTCAGTGACAGAAGAAAATCAAAAAATTGGAGTAGAAAACAGAAATTGACACCATGGTGGCTTTCTAAAACATTTCTCACTATGTTATGAGCCTCAGGAGCTACCAGGTGAGTACACACATTTTTATTGTTGCTGTTGTTTTGGTGTTGAGGATTGAACCCAGAGCTTCTTGCTTTTACAGCTTAAGTACACTCTCAACAGCTAGTAGCTAGGCTTTATGTTCAAAAACAAGTCCTTGAGCATTGATGAGGCAGAGAAATTGCAACCAGGCCCTAAAGAAGTGTCAGCTACTGATATTATAGATATGCTACCTATTTAGCTGAGATAAAAGGCAAAGGACTTTGTTACTTGCTTGGAGCTTCAGATAGGAAGAATATCCTCTAAAATGTACCTGTGAGAATACAAAACTTCAAAACTCTTGCAACACATCTCAATTTATAACATCTGCATAATTCAGAAATCCTGAGCTGAGAACTTATAATTTAAAAATGCTTCAGGATCTTTAAGAGCCAAAGAACCTTGGCAGAAATAAATGTACAATTTCTCAAAAGGGATTCTTTCACAGCTCAAGGCATAAGAGATTTCCATAAACAAAACAACCCCACTGAAGATCACCACATGAAGAAATAAATCACTATGAAAAAGATTCAGAAAATGTTGTAAAAGGGAGATTTAGGAATTCAATAGCCAGGAATAACAGAACCACCTGAAAAAGAAGACTAAGTATTTAAACCTGGTTAAAGAGGCAAAATAGGCAGCTTCACAAAGACCAGAACACACAGTTTTATTGAAAATAGTATTGTCATTGAAATTAAAATGCATCGTTCTAATCAGATCCCATGTGTTAGCAGATATAATCTCCTCCTTTCCTATTCCTTATTTTAAATTATGCTTCATTGTGTTTCTTTAAAAGTTTGTCAGGTTATTTTTGAAGAACCAAAGGTCAGACAACATGGTAGTAGAAATGAAATATTCAAAATGTGCTAATCATTTCACTTTAAAAATATGAACTTTCTATCATTTAGCAATTTGTCCCCTTGAATTTAAATATTCTCTCCACAAATGCAGCAACCTTTCCTTTTTCTGCAAGTCCTTTCATTTTTTTTCCTCTGTGTGACTCCTGACCATATAAGAGCTACTTCAGCACTCTGAAATTATAAAAACGTATTCAGGGAAGAAGGGAATCCCTCCTAATGCCCTAGAGTAGAAGACCAAAATTTTCTCTGAGGTCCTGATTTATAGCTTTATCCAAGTCCTTGTTATTGCTGCTGACTCCCACATAACTAAGGCTCCACTAGCTGCCCAGATTTCTTGACAGTTTATCTACTTCCTGCCAGTGTTGAGGCTTCCAAAACTTTTTATCCATGATAATGAAACAAGAACTACATTTATTTTAGTCTGTTTCTAATGTCACTCCAGCAGGTAGCACTGGCTTTGTGCCTTTGTGTCCTTTACTTACCTGTAGATATCTGAGGATCTAGTCATCAGTCAGCTATTAGTGATTTCCTCAAGTACCTCTGTACCACATTTAGCAGAAATTCCTTAGCATATCTAGCATGTACTATATGTAAAACAAATAGATATCTCTTTATTTTAAGCAATTTTAATAGTTTTGATGGGAGCATTTAGATGTGTGCATTCTTAAAATACACAAAAGTCCTTATCCAGCAAAAGTGCATTTCAGTATAAATCTTCATCCATTTGACTTAAGGAGATCAGTTACTATTAATCTATCAAAATAGTTGTAAAGGCTAATGTTTGTCTTGATTTATATTTTTATCCCAAAGGATAGTTTATTTCACAATATTAAAATCTACATTAGGATATGCTAGTAGGTTTAAATTCTTTATTCAGAAAAGTAATGAAAAGGTACAGAGCTGAAAGTAGATGTATAAGATTCAATAGAGCCAATATAAGTGAATAGGTGTGGAGATGCAAGAATCAGGGAGGACAAAGTGTATTAAATTGATATTAGGCCACTATCCATCGTTGACATTCTAGCACAAGTGGGTAGTACATCAAATTACATAAACGAGTTCTTTTTAATTTTTTTTTGTAGTTGTTGGTGCATAAAATGCCTTTGTTTTATTTGTTTATTTTTATATGGTGCTAGGGATGGAATCCAGCGCCTCACACATTGGTAGGCAAGTGCTCTGCCACAGAGGCCCCAGTTCCATAAATTCTTTTTTAAACAAAACAAAACAAAAAAATCATAAAAATCTTATTTTACTTCTTTAAACTGAAAAACAATTTCAAAACATAGGCTCGTTTTGGGTAGTTTGAAACTGGTTGAGATTATTGCAAAGCCATTTCAGGGCTGAGAAGGCAATTTAATTCATGTTCTAAAATACATGGTCTAAATAAATGTGTTATCCCTTCCCCCACAAGTCCATATATTGAAATTTTGACTTCCAAAATAACAGTGGAAAGTGCACCAACAAAAAAGACTGGAAAGCATTCCTCACCACACACCGACTACAAGCTCCTAGTTCTTGACTTCCCAAGCTTCCAGAACTGTGGGGAAATCAATTTCTGTTGTTCATAAAGTAGCTAATTTTGTTATACCAGCTCAAAAGAACTAAGGCACTCAAAAATAGTATGTTGGCCATTTTTCTGTATCTTGCCTTGAATAGCACCATAACCATTTTTAATCATGGCCCTTTCTAATTCGTTAGCGTCAATGTGCTCAAGTGAGTACAGCTGAAAACCATGCTTTTTGTTTTTAGTAAAGAACAGTATACACTTGTAACAGTATCATTTACCAGTAGTACTGGATTCTGTAAATATTTAAGAACACTTGCTCTGCAGCTAGACTGCCTGGGAACAAATCCATTTCTCGGTTAACAGTTGACTAACCATTCTGCGACTGTTTACACATCTGCAAAATGAGAACAATGTCAAGCTGGCATCGTGGTGCAGGCCTCTAATCCTAGCCATCGCGTCAGGTGCAGCAGGACGATCACAAGTTTCAGGCCAGCCGCAACAATTGAGACCCTCAGCATCTTAGCGAAATACTGTCGAAAATGCGCCCTGGGGTTCAATTAAAACAGTTTCAGGAATTGCATAGAGTCGCTAATTCGTGTTTTTAAACGCGGACACAGCCTGACACACTGAACTCAGAAAGCGCCAGCTGTACTGAAGGACCTCCAATAAAACTTCCTGAAATGTTAGGCCTTCCATTGTTTATGATGACACAGTTTTTCAGGGTAAGGAGTTGAACAGTAGGCCTAGCACCTACTACCACCTCATACAATTTTTCCGGGCTCAGATCGAGTCCGTGAGCACTGGATTCCCCAGGAGACATGGAAACTTCAGGTGACAAGGCTCGCCATTCAGAAGTCAACCAGGGGCGGAGCCAGAGGCCCGAAAAGACCAGCGCCTCCGTGGCCCAACAAAGTACAGCTTCCATCTTCCCAAAAGCTGAGCAATCCGAGGAGAAACTAAGGCTTCTAACATAGAATGACAACAGACGATTCACTCGCCTGCGCCGCAGCTCTCAGACTTAAGCACTACAGAATCCCGCTAAACTCCGCTCGCAGAAGGCGGAGTCTGCAGAAGGCGGAGTCTGCAGGAGGCAACTTTGGGGCGGAAGGGGCCTGAGGCGGGGCGGGGCGGGGCGGGAGAAGCATGAGGCCCCCAGGCAGAGGCTTGGGGCTGCCCAGAGTGCGCCGGACGCCGGTGAGAATATACACCTTCTTGTCCTGTAATTCCCGGGCTCAACGACTTTAACACGCCATAAATTCCACTGTCGAGATTCTCTTTCCTATCGCCCTGTCACTTTGATCATTCGAGTGGAGGGAAAAGGTGAAACTCCAAATTCAGGCAGATCCTAGCCGCCAGCAGAGGAAATAAGCCGCAGAGATGGGGTCCTTTGCTCGCGCCGAAATTCAAAGGCTTAAATAGTTCCGGCGCGGGTGCTGTAAAAGGCTTTGGGATAGTACCTGCTATGGTAGAGTTTGCCTCATAGCATCCAAAGCCTGGTGCGGTTATCCCCTTTCTCCGTCTTCGTGACCCGAGGGAGTTTTGGTGGCGCCCCAAGCACAGGCGGCCTGAGGCAGTGCCGAGGTAGGTGCGTATGCGCGGCCGTTTGGGCCCGGCCTGGTATCCTGGGGGAGATGGAGCAGGAGGAGGGCGAGTGGCCAGAAGGGACCACAGCGATAATTAGGAGTAAAGACTGGTTCCTATCTAGGCTTGGAATGGGGCTAGGAGGTGCAGAAAAAAGCTGTCGGGAGGAGAGGAAACAATCTGAGTAAAAGCAAGAAGCTAGAAGATGCGAGATTTATCTACCCTGTTAAATACTTGCTGATTTTCCCGACCCTCAGAGTCAGACACTATTCGGGTATGCAGTGATGGACTTAGGTGAACATGCTACAGAACCTTGAATTGTGATTAGTTGGGTAAACAAATGCTGTTTTAAGTGTTAACTGTAAGTGCTATGAAGGAAAAAGAAAGCCTAAACAGGATGGGTAGAGGTGCTCTTTTACATAGGAAGGACTCCACCCAGTAAGGTGATATTTGTGCATGATGGCAGTAAAGGGCAGAGTGAACCATGCCACCATCAGAGAAGTATGTTGTGGGTAAAGAGAATGGGATGTGAAGGATGTGAATCAGTAGTCCTTGTTAGAAAGAATATGATGAAAGTTGAAGGCAAGCTGTAAAAGAAAGTACTAGTGGTCATTAACAGCTTAAATGGTTTAATTTCCAAGTAGAGACTAACTATCTTTTAAAGTAGGAGAATGATACCTTTATCAGATAGGGTGGTTTGACAGCTGTTTTATTTCTGTTACCCTGTCATACCTGTTTTAGTTTCTCTTACACATTATAATTCTAGGTTTGCAGTTCACTTAAGTGGTGTTATTTCTGTTTTGTACAGACCTGGTTTTGTGGTTTGTTTGATGCATCACAGAGGTTTACTGGCGCAAGACGGTATTGAAAATGCATATTAAATCAATCATTCTCGAGGGATTTAAATCCTATGCTCAGAGGACTGAAGTTAATGGTTTTGACCCCCTCTTCAATGCTATCACTGGTTTAAATGGTAGTGGTAAGTCCAACATATTGGACTCCATCTGCTTTTTGCTGGGAATCTCCAACCTGTCTCAGGTAAAGTGCAAACTTTCTGATTTATGTGAATTTAAGTTTGGCAAGGGAATCCTCACGCAACTTTGGAGACTCTTGCCAATGTTTTCTTCATTTGCATTGTTTTACTTAATGTGAATTATATCATATGTTAGTGAAGCCCCTTCAGGAAAGCATTATTACTCTGTTGGAAGAGAAAATGGAAACTCAGGTGTTGCTTAGTGTGTTTGGTAGTAATACCCAAACTCAGGCATTTTGACTTTAAGGCAGTATCACTCCAAAATCTCTGTTTGTCCCCTCTAGTGTTATAATGCCTTTTAAGGACATACTAATGGATTGAATGACAAGTGAAATTCATAGGCACTGTCTTCCCTTCAATCTTGCAAGTTAACTTTTGTTAAGAATGAATTAGAAAGTTCAAAGAGTTCAATCAGGAAAGGCACTCATTGAGTTGTTGTCCATTGTCCTTCCTTTCCTTGCCAGTGTATGCTACTGCCTATCCTTATTCATGAGTGGGTTTTCCAACTGTAGGGAACCCATTTTTAGTGCTGCTTTATACAATATAGAGATTTGTAGTTGATACACTTTTTTTTCTTTTGTTACAGGTTCGGGCTTCTAATTTACAAGATTTAGTTTACAAAAATGGGCAGGCTGGAATTACCAAAGCCTCAGTGTCGATCACCTTTGATAATTCTGACAAAAAACAAAGTCCTTTAGGATTTGAAGTTCATGATGAAATCACAGTAACAAGGCAGGTGAGTGATTATTAAATATTTGGATACCATAAGAACTCTGGTGGTCTGATGCATTACTTGTCAATATAACTTTGCAAAAAGTGCTGGAGACAAGCCAGATGCAGAAATGCATGCTTGGAGTCTTGGGAGGCTAAGGCAAGAGGATCGCAAGTTCAAGACCAGCCTCAGCAACTTAGTGAGGCCCCAAGCAGCTTAGCAAGACCCTGTCTCAAAGTAAAAAAAGGGTTGAGGATGTGGTTTAGAGGTAAAATGCCCCTGGGTTCAATCCCCATACCAGAGAAAGTGTTGGAGACAAGGTTTATGAGCAAAACTGATGCATCAATACTGAATCAAGTCCTTAAGAGTAGTTTCCTTATAAGGTCATGTACTGCATAATGTCAAGTCAGTCAGTGATGAACTGCATATGTGATGGTGGTTCCATAAGATTATATCACCTAGTGATGATGTAGCTGACTTAGTTTAATACACTCTGAAGTTTGCACAGTGGTGAAATTGTCTAATGATGCATTTCTCAGAAAGTATCCCCAGTCATGTGATTCTTAATGGTATTAAAATTTTGATCATGCAAGTTCCACCATTAACTAAGAGGATTGAAAGAGATCTGGAAAATCTTTCATCCATTATAAGAATTTAACCATATCTGAATTGTAAACCATACTTCAATCCTTTCTGGCTATATACTTAAATAATCCAAAAACCTGATCTTGCTATCTTCTAAAATAACCCATTCTGGTTTTGGACCAGTCTTGTTAAAAAAAAGTTATTTAAAAATCTGATGGAAATGTGAAACTGTCTTATAGTTGTGTACTTTAATCTTGGTGCTTAAAAACAAAAGTTTTGTTTTTTAAAATTCCATTAACTCATTTTCTATCTTCATACTATGTCACTGGTAGATTCTCTTCTCTATTTTGATAAATACTTATGATTTTTTAAAAAATGGCTATATCTTTAAAAAAATGGCTACATTTGGACAGAATCTTACTCTGTTATTAGAATAAACTAGGTTTATTCTATTTTAAATATTTTCTATATTTAAGTGATCTGCCAATCAAATGTTTTCTTAGGAGAATCTCACCAGGTCTTTCACTTGATGTTTGTTTCTACTTCCTTCACTTGCCTGATCCCATCAAATATTAATTAGTCTCCCTCTCTCCTCAATCTTTCTTTTTGTTTTTATTATATATTTTAATGCATGATACCTCCAGATCAGTGTGCCAGAATTGGTCTAGTAAGAGCAGAATTAAGACTTCTTCCATTTCAATACTCTACTTCTGTTTTTCCCATTTGACATTGCAATGTTCATAATAAATTGTGGATTCATAAAATTTACTTGAAATCACTGTAAAATTTTTTATGTGTGCTATGTTACTGCCATTTCTGCATATATGCAGGTTTTTTTTTTAAGACTAATAAGAACCTTACATTTGACCCTTATTTTATTTTTTTTTTTTAAGATGGTCAATGTTTTCAGCTTGTCAAAGTTTTGTTTTTTAAAATTCCATTAATTCACACTTATTCTCTATATTAGAACTATGTCACTGGTAGATACTCTCCTCTATGATAAATGCCTATGATTTAAAAAAAAATTGACTACATTGGGACAGAATCTTACTTTGTTATTGGGCATTCATCAAATAATATCCCTTTTGGAATTGTTCTTAATACTAATCTACCTAATTTTAACTGTCCTCATTCAGATGTCTTTATCAAAATTTACCTAAAGTCCTTGCCAAATTACTTAGGAGCAAGCATACTCAGTTTGTTGTTCAGATATATTAATATATGTACTATCAATCTAACAATCCTGTCAGGAAAGACATTTATTTAATATTTATTAACATTTATTCAGTATTTATTAATTTCTTGATGTATACTGAATGTTCTTGAATACATTGGAGTATACATACAGAAAGAAATATGAGATAAAGATCTTGAATAAAGGCCTCAGTATCTAGGGGGTGAGACAATCATATCCAACATAACAATTTAAATGCTATGGTAAAGTATGAGCAAGCCAGTTTCTGGCATGCCTTGTTCTTAATGAAGCCATGTTGAAGCTCCATGGCTGTCTTTAAGTGGCCAAAATACATGTCTTAATTCCTTTAAAAATTTTGTCAGAAAATGATGCCAAACCACTTGTATAGCTTTTAAAAGTATCTGACTTCTTTTCCCTTTGAAAAGTGGAGGAAGAGGAGTTCACCTTTGAGTGTGGAAAAATTGCAGAAGGAAGACCAGGAAAAGAAAGCATGTTTTATACTTTCATGGAAGCATAAAGGTAGAAGTGATCTTAGAGACAGTTCAATGCAGGGGAGGTTAAGAGAATTGTGCATGATTACATAGGTAGTTAGCAAAATTCCCCGAATTAGAATCTAGTTGTTCTGAATATAGTTAGTAATTGTTTTGACCATGACACACTTTTCTACCATTTATTTGGGATTGATTTTGTTTATTATTAATTGGATAGAACAAATAAATGTAAGGTAATATATATAATTTATCATTTTAGAAGAAGTTGGGTATATACATTTATGTTTTTAAAAATGCTTCCTTTTTAGGTGGTTATTGGTGGCAGAAATAAATATTTAATCAATGGAGTAAATGCAAACAACACCAGAGTACAGGATCTCTTCTGTTCTGTTGGTTTGAATGTTAATAACCCTCACTTTCTCATCATGCAGGTATTTTGTTTGGGTCCTTATGTCTTTCGTAATGGTTTTACTATTTTTAACTTATTGCAACAGATGTGCCATTCTTTTTGGATTTATTTTTTATTTGTGTTTATTGTTTTTATTTCCATTTTTAGGCACCTTTTAAGAAATGCAGTTAGTTAATTGTTTGGGCACCTTTTTAAGAAATGCAGTTAGTTAATTGTTAGTGATGTTTTCTACCATACTATGGACATTTGAATTTTAAAGAATGTCTAGAAATTATTTTTCTTGACTTATTTTATTACTCTAAGGACAATAGCTCTAATGGTAGAAATGCTATCATTGTATATTTTTAAGTTATTGGGTTAAAGCATCTTAATATTTATGGTATAAAAATCTGAATAATTTTTCTGTTTAGAAACTCATGTAAATGAAAAATAAGGCTGATACTAAGTTGCACTTAACATTTCACTTGAAATCTAGCTGTCTTTTGAGAGCATCCTAGCAAGGTCACTGGCAGGACCCTAATGGAACCATGTGTTTGTCCATTTTATGTTGCTATACCAATACTATAGACTGGATAATTTATAAACAATAGAAATTTATTTGGGAAGTCCAAGAGCATGGCACAGGCCTCTGGTGAGGGCTGTGCCATCCTCCCAACATCATTTATTCCTTCATAAGAGTAGAACATAATAGAACATAGTAGAACATAAAGTATGAAATAATTATTTCTTAATACATCCTACCTCTAAACACTGGGTTGCTTAAGGGAATAAGTTTCTAACACACAAACTTTGGGGAATATATACAAACTGTAGACCAAAATAAAAATATTTTCATTACATATTAGCTTCAAGGCTGAAAATTTACTTCTAGTGAATATGTATCCTAACAAATTCAATTCTGGGAGAACTGGATGTGCAGATTTTTGTTTTGTTTGCTTTCAGTAATGAACAAATTTAATGTTCTGGCATTGAAATAAAATATTCTATTTGAGTTGTACAGGTTTGTTGTATATTTAGTGAGGGCTATCAAAAAATCTAGAAACGTTCACAACTCTGCTAAAATCTATATACATACTTAATCTGTTGTAGAATTGTATACTCCTATAATTTTAATATTAACTTTCTCAGAAATGAATTAACTGTGAAACTGAAACTGAATTAACTGTGTTTCAATTATTTAGTTGTATCATTTAATAACTCAGGTAATTTGTATCACTGATAATATAATATTCCACAATAGCACATTTCTAAAATTCTAGAATTATAAAGTTCCTTTAGTGTCATGCCTAACAAAAGTAACATCTTTTCATGAAAAAATACCTCCTCAATTGGTATATTGAGATATAAGAAGCCCCCCTACAGATAAATATTGAATGCCATTAGTTCACATTTTATAATTTGTTAGTATTGTAGTAATTTTGTCATTTTATTTTCAGGGTCGAATTACAAAAGTATTGAATATGAAGCCTCCTGAGGTAAAAGTACCATTTGTGGGTAGTAATTAATTATAGCTATTGTTTCAATCTTCTAGGAAACAAAATTTAAAAATAATTTTATGCATTAAAATTCTTGGAAACATTGTTTAGTGATTATAAAGGAAGTTGTTTGTTGAATATTTAGCACTGTACTCAATATTAAGAGTTTTGACAGCATAAAGCAACCTTGCTCAATTCATCTTCCATGTCAGGATTAATACTATAGAAAAGCTTAAGAAAGAGCCAGACATGGTGGTGCATGGCTGTCATCCTAGCGACTTAGGAGGAGGCTGAGGTAGGAAGATCACGAGTTCAAAGCCAGCCTCAGCAGTGGCAAGGTGCTTAGTAACTCATTGAGACCCTGTCTCTGAATAAAATACAAAATAGGGCTGGGGATGTGGCTCAGTGGTTGAGTGCCCCTGAATTTAGTCCCTGATAACCACCCCCACCCCCCCGCCAAAAAAAAGAAAAGCTTAAGAAAAAAGATTAATTTGCAATTAGTTCATTTTGTAGAATAGGTTATTTAGGGCACTGAGACTTAATTTTCTCTTGGAACCACCTTGAAACAGTTGGTGTGAAGGAATGAATATTATATATATGAACAAAGGCTTTTCAAATTTTTTTTTTTTTTTTAATTGAGAAGAGCCAGTAAGATGGATAATTGATAATACTAGTCTGTTTGAGTACAGGGCATGCTTATTTTCCATAGATAACAGCTGAGGGGGAAAACTGCTAATTTGAAATCTACGAAATATATGTTACGTAGCATGTTCCAGGAAAATTGCCATCTTATAAAATTATGATTGATTCATATTTTCCTTTTTCACTGTGCTTTTCACAGCATTGCTTTGTTTAATTCTCAATGCTGCTGTGAGACATTGTCAGTACTCTGGAGGCAAGAACTGAAGCACAGAGGAAATTAAGTTATATGTAGTAGTCGTTAACACATGTGCCACAATTGGAAGGCTAATGTTGTGCCATACTTCAGGCTTGTTGGCAAAGTGGCTGAAGTCTGACTTGAAAGAATTTTCAATAGAAACTTCCTAAAATGAAAGAAGAAAGGGGTGTTCTTTTTATTTTTTACTTTTTTTTAAGTGTGTAATTGAAGGGAAAAGGAGGAATTATTGGCTTCAATTTCAAAAGAGAGAAACCTTGGAAACTTAGTGTATAGCAGGTTTGACTTTAGAATAGGAGTGAGGCCAGAAATGTTTCTTGAATAGAAGAGTTGTGGTTAATAGCTACATTTTTATCTGATAGCTTATGATCTTTTTAAGCTCTTATTTTGGTAAGATGCTTAGGGAGGTCAGTCTGCAAATGATATAAGTAATGTAAGTTCCAGTGAGATGCATTGTTTGGGGCTCTTATGACATTATTATAATTGTCATTCCAGATTTTATCTATGATTGAAGAAGCAGCTGGAACCAGAATGTATGAATACAAAAAAATAGCTGCCCAGAAAACTATAGAAAAAAAGGAGGCTAAGCTGAAAGAAATTAAGACGGTAATTAAATTTGTATAAAACATTTTTGGAAAAGAGTACCCTTTTGCATTTGGAGTTTCTGCTATAAAGAGGGAAATATTTTTTTCTAATCAGTTTTCCAGTGTTCCAGTCTACTTTTCTTTTTAAAGTTTTGTTAAATGGTATTTGACATACTGAAAATACTGATATTCCTCCATTTTTCAGATACTCGAAGAAGAGATTACTCCAACCATTCAAAAATTAAAAGAGGTATGTATTTTGTATATAAGGAGAGCCAGTTAGAATGTCTCTTACAATTGGTGATGTATCCAAAATTAGGCAAATAGGGATGAAGTGTATACTGTTTCTTGGGGATTTTCCTTGAGAAGAAATAAGGAATTTAAGTACTCCATAACAGCCTCTGCTTGTAGAAAGTATGTATTCTGCATCTCTTAAGTCTTGATTTTGGACAATAATCTTCCATTGCCTTGGAAAATGGTATGCTAGATTTTAATGTTTTATTAAAGAGGAGCAAGTGTGATTTTCCTGGATAATTAAATGTAGTACTATAGTACTGTAAAGTAGAACTTACATAATCGATACTGGAAAAACTGAAAAATTATGATCTTGAAGGTATCCCCTTGATATGGATAATCTTTCTATATCTGTTAGTATGAACAGGCCATTTAACCACTCAGAATTTGTTTCTTCATCTGCACATTAGATACTTAACTATGTATCACTTGATGAATTTCTGGATTGTGTATAGAATTCTTATTACTGCCAGTTTTTGAACCATATGTCCATATTTCCTTGTTAATTCCAATTGCCTCATGTTATATTAGAAAAATAGGTCACACGGAATTCATTAGAAATGGTATAAAGCTATCTAAAAAGTCAAGAGTTTTGATATTATTTAAAATTTCCTAAAACTAAAATGCCATGGTCATTTAAGACAAAAATTTATCATATCATGTAATGGGAAATTTGAAACATGATGCTGTAGTTTGATTCTTTCCAAGTTTGTTTTGAAAAGTGTGAATTTTGAATTATTTATTCTGATTTCTCTTTCAGGAAAGATCTTCCTATTTGGAATATCAAAAAGTAATAAGAGAAATAGAACATTTGAGTCGTTTATACATTGCTTATCAGTTTTTACTGGCTGAAGATACTAAAGAGCGCTCAGCTGAGGAGTTAAAAGAAATGCAGGATAAAGTTGTAAAACTTCAAGAAGCATTGTCTGAAAATGATAAAAAAATAAATGCACTTAATCATGAAATAGAAGAATTGGAGAAAAGAAAAGATAAGGTCGGAACATATAAATTATTAAATTACTCTGAAAAAAATGTACAATAACTATTTAAGATTTTTTTTTTTTTTTTAATATACTATGGATTGAACCAGGGTATTTAACCACTGACCCAGATATGCACCTCTTTTTATTTTTTATTTTGAAACAGGGTCTAACTATTAGTGGCTATTTAGGATTTATTAGGCATTGTTCTTAATGTAGGATAATAAAATGGCTTATATAATAAATATTTTATATAGAAATACAAGAAAATTAAAGCATGAATATATTTTAAGTAATTTCAGTTGTGTTTATTTGATTATAGGAAGTTGGAGGTGTACTCCGATCTTTAGAAGATGCTCTTGCAGAGGCTCAGCGGGTTAATACTAAATCTCAAAGTGCATTTGACCTCAAGAAGAAAAATCTGGCAAGTGAAGAAAACAAACACAAGGAGCTAGAAAAAAATATGATTGAGGTAAGCAAAAAAAAAAAAAAAGCTTTAATATAATTCTAATGTATATTTATTAATATTGTGTTAATATTTAGTGTCTCTACTGTGAGCTAAAAATGATTGTTTGAACTGGAGATATACTAGTGATAAAAATGGTTAAAATTCTCAGCCTTGTGGGTCCATTTGGGAAAATGATTATAATGAAATAAGTAAGTAAAATATATAGCACGTTATGTAGCAGTAACTGATGTGGAAAAAATATCAAAGTAGAGGAGAAAGTTTGGAGTTCAGGGGAAGGAGGACATAATGTGGTATTTTAAATTGGCTAGCTATTAAAGTATGAACTTGCCATTAGACACGGTGGAGAACAGAAAGAACAGGTTTACATGAGGAAAATAAGTGAGCATAAAAGGCTTGAGATTTCCTGTTAGATATCTTGAGTGGTGATGTTGATTAGGTAGTAAAATATATGAATATTAATCCAGACTAAAATACAGATTTGGGCATCATTAGTATCTAAGTGATATTTAATTTCATAAGACAGGATAAAACTATCAAAGGTATGCGTATAGATGAGAAGAAGTTTAAACTTCAGGCAGTGCACTAATTAAACATGTAAGTTAGGGTACATGAGGAAGAGTGAGCAAAGAATGGAGAAGATACAAAGAAAATCATGCCAGTCCATAAGTTGACCTACAGCCCAAGTGAAAAAATATTTCAAGGAGAAATGGCCCTGAGATCCTGATAGAGTGTGTTCATACTCACACAAAATGACAGCAGAAAAATACATGCATGGATATAGAAAACTCTTGAAAAATTTTCTGAAAAGGATAAAGAAGGAGCTTACTGAAGGGTAATATAGAAGTAAGCTTTTTTGGGCTTGATTTTATAAAGAATAAATTATACATTGATGGGAAAAAATTTGGTAGTCAAAGCAGCATTGGTGATTCAGGAGAGAGAAATTGTTGAATTCTTAAAACAAGCTCCCTCAGTAGGTGAGAGTAGGATAGAAACTGGTGTGCAATTAGAACAGGTAGCCTTTGCAAGGGGCAGAAATAGGTCATTCCCAGACACAAGAAGAGTCAGTATGTACTATCATGCAGGCAGATGAATAAGTGTGTGATAGAGCTTTTGGAAGTTCTCTTAAGTGTGATTCTGTTGTCCCAGTGAAAGTATGATTTGCCTTTCCTATGGGAAAGAATTAACTTATTTGAAAATAAAATATTTATTTTTATTGTAATATTAGGTATTGCTTCATGTAAATACAATTATCAACTTAAGAAACACGGGGATAAAAATTTAGACAAACTGTCAAAGTAGTATGAATGTGTGACATAGCATTTCTGTTTTGGCTTCCAGTAGCTGAAATCAGTTCATTATTTCCTTTTCTAATCAGGCTTATAAAGCGCTAAATATGTGGACTTGCCTTGATTTTGGCTGATTTTTCTTTAATTTTGCCAGGCCCTTAAGTTTCAGATAGATATACTGATTGTTCCTCTTTCATCTCCTTTTCTGTATCTTTTTATTCTTCTTGATCTTTCAATGTTAGCATGTCACAGCCTGGAGTAAAGACATCTTTACTTCTTACAGTCTCATTTTAGCCTAGACATTGTCTACAAGTTGATGCCTTCCAAATCTAAACTAGACTTAACTATTTCCCTGAACGCTGTGAAGAAGCAGGCTGTGCACTACTTATCAGCTTGTCTGAGTCCTGAAAGAACACACTCATACACAAAATACTACATGAGGTTTGTTTATTGCTTATGGATAGTCAGCAGTGGACAACAAAAGCCTAGAATTTATTGTGAACTAGTTCCCAAGGCTCAATAAAGGTTCCCCAGAGTGGATGGGATCTTATCCACCTCTCAGCCACCTTAGGAAGTAGCCTGTCCTAGGGTGATGCGTGGGACTGGGCTAAAGAATTGAAAGACATTCTATTTCTGGGGACAGATTAGAACAAAGCCCTGAATTTTCCAGCCAGTCTCTTCCCAGATCAGGACATTGCATGACCATCACATTCTTAAGAACTATAAGCCAGAAAGAGGAAAATTGAGTTAGTCCAAGGCAACCTGGAAAACCATCATGCAATCCTCCTGACCCAGATAATCAACCCCCTGAGCAAAGCTAGTCCATTTCATATGCCGATGGATCTCCTAAAATCTAGAGGAGGAGGAGGAGGTTTGTCTCTTTTGAGTTGATGTGTAATACCTTAACTAATACACAGTACAACGTTGTGAAGCCATAGCCAGAATACGTTTCATTAGGAGACTGCAGCAAGCAGGATGATCAGGCCTGGATAGAGCACTGACCCAGATTAGATCCTGGGAATCTAAGTACTGAGTTGCTGAAGAGGTCAAAGAAGGATCCTGATGGTAACACTACTATCTGCAGCCCGTGGGCTTGCTTTTGGGTCTCTTCTACTTGGGCTTCTACAATATCTGAGGTCTCTATACAGATACACCAAGAGATGCTGGTACTTGAATACACTTCATTCAGCTTAATAAAAAGTTTAGATTGTCTAAAAGGCGGTTGAGATGTCTCCTTGACTGCCAAGGCTGGGAGAGAGGTGAAGGCAATATCTGCCATGGTTGAGGATAGGTTTCTTCTCATTTTCTCATGAGAATTACTTCTGTGTGTGATTCCAAAGATCTCATAAAGCATATAAACCCAGAGTGGTTTTATACTTCCTGGTAGGTCCCCTTGTAAGCCTGACATTCAGCTTTAGGCTGATGACTCAATACTGCATCTCATTCCTAGGGGTGATATCTAAGGGCAAACCAACCACACCCAGTGTATAGAATCCCACTGTCTGTGAGCTTTCCAGACATGCCATTGAACATCATTGGTTTGGCTAACCCCTAGACTGCCCACAGAGAAAGCTGTAGATCTGGGATATACACCCTTTATCTCCATTTTATTGTTCAGTGGCCCACATATGGATATGGGCCTCATTCATGACCTAACTGCAGAAGCTCACTTTCCTTCATACAGAATTGTTCATGAAGCTCCTGCACATGGGATTAGCACAAGGCCAGTTCTTGTTTTTGTCATTACTACTAGGATATTTAACCATTTAAGCATGCTGCCTCAAAATACCAGCCCTTTTTATTTTATTTTTTAATTAATTAATTAATTTTTTTTATTTTTTGGTACCTGGGATTGAACCCAGGGGCACTTAACCACCGAGTCACATCCCCAGCCCTTTTTATTTTGTGACAAGATCTTGGTGAATCATAGAGTGCTGCCAAGTTGCTGGCCCCAAACTTGCTATCCAGCAGCCTCAGCCTCCCAAGCTGCTGGGATTGTATGCATGCACCACCATGCCTGGCCTAAAATACCAGCCCTTTAAGGTTTTGTTAGTTTGGGTTGTGACATTTTGCTACAGAGTCAGTTAAGTTAAAATGGATTATTTCTGGCTCCTTTCCTTGTAACTGGTGATATATTTTCTTTTGGTAAACCAGGGTATGGAGTCTGTTGGTATACACTATGGGGTTAAGAATGCTGGTAAAGTTTACTACTTGTAGGACCAGGGTATGGAGTCTGTTGGTATACACTATGGGGTTAAGAATGCTGGTAAAGTTTACTACTTGTAGGACCAGAGATTGCTTGGCCTGATCTTGAATATACCATTTTCATTTGAAAATTGACCTTGAGCCTGCCAAATTTATTGATGGGGTTTGTAAGAACCCAAGAAAGAATATGCAGTTCAGGTCTCACAGTCACATGTGGTGATTCAGCTTTAAGGTATTTATTTAAGGTGTTTATTCTTCACGAGTGCATGTTAGCAAGCAAGTTACCCATCAAAAAGGGATATATATTTGCATCATGCAAACTATATGTCTCAAAATCCAGTAGGCTAGCAAATCCCTGTGGTAATTTTCTCTTGCCACAGACCCCAGTCCACATACATGGAGACTGAAGGTAACTTGTAATTCCATCTGGCTGGCCAGCTAAAGGTTTTAAAAGCAGCACTTGGGCCATGACATGTTGAACTACTTACAAGGCTTCCAAGAGTCCTGCTCAATATTGGCAGTTTCACTGAAGTGGTCAAAAGAATACTCATGTGATGCACCATAATCACCTAATCACAATAAATGGCACCATAATCACCTAATCATAGTTGTGCTATGCCTAGTGGCATATCAGCCATTAGGCTTTCTTCCTATATGTGCCATCAGGGTGAAAAATTCTTGTTAAATTATATTTGGGATACTTATCTGACTTATTAGTCTCCATGCCTTGAAGCCCTTTTTGACCAGTGACACTAGCTGGTGCTTTGTAATAGAGTAGTTTGTAATATTTTTGTCTGTAGCAGATTTTGAATTAACAAAGTTATGCCCTGTTTTCTACTTAGCGCGGCACTTTTGCTAAATAGCTATTGGGTCTTTGCTAGCTTCAGAAGTGATTATGCCCCATTGTTATGACTTGAGTTCTTGGCTATGAGGGAACATGTCCTCATAGGTGATGTTTTGGGCCACAAACAGCCAAAATGTCAAGGTGAATAATGTATTCAGCAATGGAAATTTGGTCACTGGCACCCAAAATGATCTACAACCAAGGGCCCCACCCATAACCAATAAGCACCTTGGCTCACTAGATTCATCCCCAAATCTCCTGATATAATCAATTTAATTTTTCCCCTAAGGAGATCTGGAAATACTGTCATAAGTCTCCAGTAAACAAGAAACCCTGAAAAGTTGGAATTCCCTTATCTTCTTTTTTTTTTAATTTTTTATTGTTGATTATTCAAAACATTACAAATTTCTTGACATATCATATTCCACACTTTGATTCAAGTGGGTTATGAACTCCCACCTTCACCCCATACACAGATTGCAGAATCACATCAGTTACACATCCATTGATTTACATATTGCCATACCCCTTATCTTCTTGACGGGAGTATAAGGCCATTGTGCTCCAGTAAGCCTCTGGAGATCTTGCTTCCTCTCTAAACTGTACTGTTTAGTGGTTTAGATCTATAGTGTACCTTTATCAAATCAACACTTTAGTCAGGATGTTTAGGGGTTCCCAGCCTTTCTGCATATCTGTCCCCAATATACTATCTATTTCTGTGAAGGCCTGCATTTTTTTGTTTGTTTGTTTATTTACTCCCTCTCACCTGCCTCAGGGTTCATCTGATTACCCATTTCCTGGGGTCTCTGTCACTTGGCATGAACAATTCATAAATACCCCCAAATCAGGGGATCATGTACTGAACTGCCTCATTTCTGTATTTCCCTCTGCCTTAATCCATGCAGCCAGCTTATTCCCATCTATAAGAAGTGACCTGTGTCCCACTTACTGTGCCTCCTTTCCCATAAAACATCCAGGTGTATGTCCAGATCTTAAATCTCCCCTTACTCTGCCAGCTGGCTTGCATCTCTGCTATGAGCTGGGTTTTGAGGGGTTGGGAGTGGTATGGCCACTCTAACTTTGGCAGTAATATAGACTGGACCCTACTGAATTGTGCCAATTTTTATGAAACGGGTTTATTGTGTACCTGATTACCAACTTCTCAGTGTTCAATAAATAGTCATATACTTAGTAGATATTCATAATAATTTATAGTAGATATTCTTATATAATTCATAATAGATATTTATACAGTTATATAAAGCAAATTTATTATTTACAGATGGGTAGTAATTGACAGCAGAACCCTGGGATTCATGGTGGGAAAGCTGCCAAGGGCAGATGGGAATCTCATGTGCATGCCCCACTCAACCTAGATCTAAGGGACCCTGGAAAGTAGCTTGCCTTGAGATTTATATCAGGGTGAAATTTATATCATATCACCACAAGGTGACATGAGTTGCTGGGTTAAAGCATTAAAGATATTTCATTTCTAGGCTGGAGGGTTGGAGACTAAAATAGAGCATAGGCTATTTAGGCCCTTTCCTCCCTATTTTAGGATGATGTTGTTCTAACACATTCTATGGTTATTTTTGAGAGCTACATCTGAGAAAGGGAACTGAACTGGATCAGTCCATGGTCACCTGGAGAATTGTCCTATAAACTGCAGATTCATTTGTTCAACTAGCCACTTAACTTTTTTTTTTTTCTCAGATGAGTAACAAAAAGTATACAATTTAACATATCCACAATGGATATGTTATATATATAAATATAAATTTTCCACACCAATGTAAATGCGAATTATTGTACTTTCCATATGTCAATAAATAGCATCATAATCACCTAATCACTTAGTCCAGAAATCCTAGGGTCCCTCTGAATTTCCTTTTTTCCTCTGAAGCTCCTTAATGAGTTCATCAGCAAATTCTGTTGACTCTAAAGTGTGTGCAAAATACAAGCACTTTTTATCACCTCAGTCAAAGTCATGTGTATAATTAAATATAAAGCCTGTATTATGTGTTTCATGCGATTATATACTCTTCATGCTATGACTCTTGGCTCCCTCTTAACATTCTTTTCTCTGCTGCAACTGCAGTTCTTCAAATGCCCAAACATGTTCTCAGGGCTTACAGGAACAGTGTTCACAGCTATTTACATGATCGCTTTTCTTCATTTAGTTTCTATTTAAATGTCAGCAGATTCCCTTTTTCTTAAATTAATAGTTGCCCTCAGTTTCTTTCCCTTGACCTTGCTTTATTTTTTGCCATGCCTTCCACCTTAGAATATATGCTCCCTGAGGATAGGGTCTTAGTTTGTGTTTTAAATATCTTTGAACAATACTCAGTATATAGTAAACACCTAATAAATATTTGATGAACCATGAACTATTCAAGTAGCCCCAAATTCCTGGTCATTTTTAGTAAACAAGACAGCTAGACTTTTCAGTGCTATTGCTGTCTTACATAATGTCAGATATCTGTTTAATATCACTTAAGAGAGGTTTTAGTAGTTCTTTCCCCACAACTATTTAATAATTAAATTGTGTGCTCCCTTAACACTTTATAAAGTATTTTAATGTATACACTCTTACTTCTAAAATCTCTGCTTTTAACCTTAGTGTAGGATGGCTATTATTTCAACTCTAAAACTTTAAGGACTATGTTTAGTTTCAAGTAGATTATTTAAATGTGCAATCAGTTTTTAGCCCATTGTTGCCTAGATTTTACTATCACATATGGGATGAAAATATTTCAGGGAGTAGAAGAGTTACATCCCCCAAACAGCAAAGTTCAGAATGGGAATTCAGTACTTAAAGTTATAATGATTATTTTCCTTGTTATTACATTTGTTACAAAATTTAATGAAGTAAGAGTATTTGTGTATAAATATATATTCTTAAAATAACAATATTTTTCAATTTGAAATTTTCCCTGAAGGACTCTAAAACTTTAGCAGCAAAGGAAAAAGAAGTTAAAAAGATAACAGATGGGCTGCATGACCTTCAAGAAGCAAGTAAAAAAGATGCTGAAGCTTTGGCTGCTGCACAGCAACACTTCAATGCTGTGTCTGCTGGCTTGTCCAGTAATGAAGATGGAGCAGAAGCAACTCTTGCTGGTCAAATGATGGCCTGTAAAAATGATATAAGTAAAGCTCAGACAGAGGCCAAACAGGTAAGTAAAGACATTAAGCACTTTGTAGTTATGTTGAAAATAATCAGTTCAATGTCAAGAAACTTACTTACACTATTCAATCACTTTGTATACGTATTATAACAAAATTTAAATTTGTTGATTGTTAAATATTGATGATTTCAGATTTTCAACCTACTATAAGACATAAATTGCCATAATTGAATTTGTAAGTGCAGTAAATAACTGTTCATTTTATAGTCTTGTTTGGAATATTGAAGGTTAGTCATTTCTCATTTTTTTTGGCTGTAATTTATTTGTTTTATTGACATCATAAAATTTAAGTCTTAAGCTTTAAAAGGTAAACAAAACTGTTCTCTCTGCTGCTTTACCATTTCTAGTTCATAAAATATTATTTTTCATTGCTCAATGCAGCTCCTTTGCTGTTACTAGACAATACAGAGATACACAAATACAAATATGAACACCTAAGTGGAAAGGAAGGGAACTAGAGTTAAGATTTCTAGCTTTCTGATATGTTTTTAATTTAACCAGTTACTAACAGTATTTGTCAACTTTATTAACACTCTTGTCATATTTTATAGATATTAAAAATGTGGACTTTAATTAGAAGTTATTTAATAACTTATATTAATGATACTATCTCCAAGTAATTGAGGAGAAAATACTGGGAAGTGACTGATCTTTTGAAATACTATTTCATGACACCAAAGAGTTACATTTTTAATGCTAAGGTCTCTTGATTGAACTAGTTGAACTCTGTGGCCATTTGATTACTAGCTCACTGTGTACCTCATGTAGTCTGTTACATTTTTCTATGACAGGCCCAAATGAAGTTGAAACATGCCCAACAAGAATTAAAGAATAAACAAGCAGAAGTTAAGAAGATGGATAATGGCTACAGGAAAGACCAAGAAGCTTTAGAAGCTGTAAAAAGACTTAAAGAAAAACTTGAAACTGAAATGAAGAAGCTAAATTATGAAGGTTTGTTTTAAAGACATGATAATCAAATCATTAGGAGGTAGTGAATGTTAATAGAAACTGATTTAAAGGAAATAAGCAAATAAAAAACATTTTTTTACCCTATTAACAGGTATTAGTATAAGTATTTATAAATACAATCACAAAAAATCAAGTATTAAAGATCCCTTTGAATTTTCAAGAACTCAGTATGGAGAATTTTTTGCTTTAGTCACTTGAAACTCACAAATGTCATTTGTGTATTTTTATATTAGTAAGCATTCAATTCATGTGTTATTTCTTGAAAATTGCATCATTTATTGTTGGAAATAATGTCTACTTGACATTTGATAGAAATTTGAATGTTAAGAATGCTTCTTTATTTAATATTTATCCGAAATTTATATTTTGCTTTTTAGAAAGCTTTGGAAATAGAGGTTGCTTATATTTTCCTTAACATTGAAGAGTTTCTAAAACTTTGTATTAATGTACTTATGATTTACTCAGAAAATAAGGAGGAAAGGCTTTTGGAAAAGCGCAGGCAACTGTCTCGTGATATCAGTAGATTGAAAGAAACATATGACGCTCTCTTGGCCAGATTTCCCAATCTTCGATTTGCATACAAGTAAGAGATTTAGACCTTATATTTTAGAACAGTAATAACAAAGATATGTTTTTATTTAAGCTGAAAGACCACCTAAAACTTTTGTTAATACCAAGATTTTTGTATGAAAATTCTTATAAATTGCATTTTCTTTTTTGGTATTGTATCTTTAAACATTTATTAAAATGTTTCACACATCTGTAGGGGGAGAATTCTTGGGCAATTTAATGGTTACTGATTTCACTAATCTTGAATTAAAACTCAAATGAAGGGAATTTAATATAAGTTCAATGTCTTTCTGTCATTACTGTTAAATATATACATTTATATCTTATAATTTGTTTTGCTACAAGGGTTTTATTTATGAGTAGAGTAAACATATATTACAGAGTTTAGAACAGCAAAATTCTTAGTTACATTGAAAACTAGTTGAAATAGATTTTTTGATTTAAAAATAGTGGCTGATTATCATCTGGGACATTTAAATTTTTTTGTTTTAGTAAAAATGTAATTTGTTTTCATTTTAGTTTAATATGCTGCCCAAAAGAGCTTTTAACTAGGAAAGTTTAAATTTTTCTATTTTGTTGCCTAAGATTAATTTTTCTCAACTTTTCTGTTAGGGATCCAGAGAAGAACTGGAACAGAAATTGTGTGAAAGGACTTGTAGCTTCTCTGATTAGTGTTAAAGATAGTTCTGCAACCACAGCTTTAGAACTGGTAGCTGGAGAACGACTCTACAATGTTGTAGTGGATACAGAGGTAAATTAATTTTAATTAAAGTAAAATTTGAAATAGGTGTTTTGCTTGAAGAATCACATACTGCTACAATAGTTGGACATTTTTTTTTTTTATGTTTTAAAATTTTCTCAGGTCAGTTATCTCTATATGATGAAATTAATGACTTTTTTTTTTTTTTTTAAGTATTGGAGACTTGCACATGGTAGGCAAGTGTTCTACCATTGAGCTACATTCCCACCCCTTTTTATTTTTTATTTTGAAACAGGTCTCCCTAAATTGCCAGGCTGGCCTCAAATTTGCAATCCTCTTATTTCAGCCTCCTGAATAACTAGGATTACATGCATGTGCCCCCATACCTGGCTAAGTCAGTGACTTCTTGATAAAGTTTCATGTTTACTCAGGAACTCAGAATGCACATTGCCAATCATCGTTTTTAAATTTTTTTTTCCCTGTGCAAATTTGTGTTGATTTAAATTTTTTAAATGATCTAGGAATAACCTTTTTTAATGTCATCCACCCACCCTCATATCATGGGTACATTGGATTTACCTGCATTTTTCACTTCTCTTTTTTTCTCTTTAGAATGTTCTTATTTATGTCAGTGTTTCATAATAATTATTGTCAAATATAATTCATTGTGTTTTTTACATTTTATGTTTTTTGATGTATTTGTAACGTGTAACATATTTTGATACATACACATAGTGCTACTATAATCAAACATACATATCTATCACCTTGCATGATTGCCTTTTTGTTTTTCCTATGGTGGTAGGAGCACCTAAAATCAATTCTCTTGCCCAGTTTTTTACAATCAATATAATATTAACTATAGTCCTCATGCTGTATATTATATTTCTAAATCTCTACACTTACTTAACCTGTATAACTGCAAATATATACCCTTTGGCCTACAAGTTACTTCTTTTCATTTCCTCCCCTCCCCATCCCTAGTAGCCTTCTATTCTACTCTAATTAGTTACATTTCTTTTTTGTTTTATTTTTATTTTAAGATTTTGCACATCTAGAAATTACACAGTATTTTCCCATGTCTGGCTTGTAGCACTTAGCTTAAATCTTCTAGGTTCGTTCATGTTCTTGCAAATGGCAACATTTCCTTTTTTAAGGCTGAGTAATAATTCATTTTATATATTCTTAATCTTTTCATTTGAGATAGAAGATTTAATATGTTAATTTTTCTCAACTTTTCTGTTAGGGATCCAGAGAAGAACTGGAACAGAAATTGTGTGAAAGGACTTATAGCTTCTCTGATTAGTGTGAAAGATAGTTCTGCAACCTGTTGTAGAACTTGACTAATAATTATTATCAAATATACTAAACTGTTACTTTACTATGGATTCCTAAACTTGTATTCTTTCTATTTTAATGAGTTTTTTTTTTTCATTAATTTTTTTTAAATTTCAAATTCTTGTTTTAGGTTACTGGTAAAAAGCTACTAGAAAAGGGAGAATTGAAGCGATGTTACACTATAATTCCACTCAATAAAATTACTGCCAGATGTATTGCTCCAGAAACTCTGAGGGTTGCTCAGAATCTTGTAAGTCTTATTTTATGTCATATATATATTTAATCTTTTTTTAACGTAGGCATCAATTTGGGAGGATATAGTCATACAGAACCACAACATTTTAATTTTGTTACCATTTAAAAAAATTAAGATAGAGAAGACTTATTATTATTGACTCATGTGCAATTAGATGTCAAGAAAAGTAATGAAGACACTAGAATAGAAGAAATGAAGGCTGGAACTCCCTTTGATACTTTAAAAATTAGTATTAAGTCAAGTCACATGACTATTAGGTGATAGTGAAAATTGCATTCCTAGTTTCTGAATGGGTAGAATTGAACTTTCAGAAAATTCTGAAATTCTCCAATATGTGATCTGCTCATGATAGTAACCATTATGGAAGGCATCCATAATTCTAGATTGCTATTCAGCCCATTCAACTGCTAAAGTAGATCTGAAGTGCGATGACAGTTAATAAGAAAACAGATATGTATAAGAAAATATTTAAAAAGTTGTTATGATGTATAATACTTAATTATGAAGCTAATCAATAACATTAAGCAGCAAAATTAGTTTGTTATTGAACAGGCATTTGAAGTGCATGAGTTTAAAAGACAGTTCTATAAAACCTATAAATAACATTTGTAATTAAGATATTAAGTGGATGTCTACTGTCCTTATTGAAATTAAGAAGTTTTTAATGAAAATTATTTGAAAATGTTGCTATATTGAAAAGTGTACTCTCAGAAGAGGAAAGATGAATGCAGAGTAATTGAAAGATGATGTTTTTTGGTTTGTACTTTCTTTATTTAAAAACAAATCAACATTGGATTAGGAAGTAAGTTTAGCCGTAGGTCAAGTTCTTATGTTAAAAGTTAATTGAGTTTTCATGTAATAGCAAAAACACTTCTCAGATCCTGTATAGCCAGACCTGTTGAATGGTAGCTACTATGTAAAAGCAAATAAGTGAACACAGTATTAACTAGAGCTGTCTTTGTTGTCATTTCTGCAGCTGTTAGTAAGGGATTTAAGCTTTTTTTTTTTTTGAAAAGATGAGCAGAGGTTGACATTCTTAACAAAGATCGTGTAAAGGCAGTTGGATCAAAATAGAAGACTGACAAATCCTTCTATTCTTTTTTACTCTCATTTATTAAATGTGTTTTTATTTCTATAAGTGGTCATTAGCTACTTTAATATGTTTAATTTGAATAAAAAAATATTCACTGTGTACCAACCAGATTACTAATGATGGAAAACAAAACATTATATATTGTATTGATCCAAGAGTTTAAGAAACTTGTGTTTACTTAGTGCATTTTAGATTTAGGAATTTGGTATTGGTTCCTTCTTGATAGAAATTCTCCTAATGTTTGATAGTTTAGCTAAAGATTTTTATATAGTAATAGATCTTTCAGTGTTTAAACTTATTTTTTTCCTTTTTTTGACAGTACTAGAGATTGAACCAGAACCATATGCTAGGCAAGCATTCTACTACTGAGCTATACCCCCAGCCCTACATTTACTTTACTAAACTTGTATTACTTAAATCTCTATTATAGTATTTCTTACTATCTTATAGAATAATATTTGAAAGGAAAAATAGTAGGGTCTATATGGCATATCTATTCTTTGGCTCATAGGTTGGTCCTGATAATGTTCATGTGGCTCTTTCCCTGGTTGACTACAAACCAGAACTTCAGAAAGCAATGGAATTTGTCTTTGGAACAACATTAGTTTGTGACAGTATGGATAACGCCAAAAAAGTGGCCTTTGATAAAAGGATAATGACTAGAACTGTAACTCTAGGTGGTGATGTATTTGATCCTCATGGAACATTGAGTGGAGGTAAGTTTTGTATCTTTGTTTTTATAGTTCTGTATAGTAAATAGAATGGGGCTTTCTGGCTGCCCCCCACCCTTTATTTTTAAAATAGGGAATAGTAGAATTGAGATTATTCCCAGTCTTTGATTATAACCAATTCTAGCATCTAGGTTCAACACTTAAGATCAAATATATACTTATTTCCAAAGCCTTAATTAATATAAATCCAAGGATCAAATTTAACCTTTAAATACTGACCGTGTGATATTGGGAAATTATACAGTGTCATACTCCTCAGGAGCTTTTGGGTATTAATCAACTTTATAACTTATTTGTGTCAAATCTATTCCTATTTATTCTTGCTTTTTGTCTTATCAGGGTATTTCAGTCACTAGAATATTGATATTAAGATGTTCTTGCTTGCTTGCTTCTTACCTTTTGCCCATCTGCACTCAAGGAAAATGAAGTCCTTTAATTAATTTTTTAGCCTAACCACTTTCTTTAGGAAACTTGTTAACTCACATCAATGCTGACACTGTTCCTGTTAAAAGTAAAAACCTTTAACATAGTTCCTTAATGCCTAAGGCAATTCTTAGTGAATATCTTCTTGTTCTAATATTTGTCGTATCAATTTTCTGTATCTGTATAAAGTGATAATATAAGAAACAGGGAATAATACTTACTCTGTATTAGACAGTGTTCATATTGTTTTCCAGTACAGTAGCAACAAGCCATATGTGATTCTATGTTAATTAAATTAACTTAAAATAATTTCCTCACTTGCACTAGTCACATTTCAAGGGCTCAGAAACCACAAACTGTTAATGTGTAATTGGACTATGCATATATTGAACATTTTTATCACTTTATAAAACCCTATTATTTTGGCTTTAAATAATTCATTTAATCTCTAATAACAGCTATAAGGTGGGCATATTACTATCATCTTCAAAATGCAGTTGAAAACATTAAGACAAAGTGATTAAATAAATTGCTAATAAATAGCAAAACTTGGTTTTCTAATTCAGGAAGTTTGATTTCACAGTTTGTGTTTTTTACTTTTAACCCAGTGAGCAATATAATGCCTCTTGAGATATCAGTGAGTTATTATCTTAGTAGGCCAATTAAATGAATTCCATGTTCAAGTATCAGATTCCTCAATGTGAGAAATAAAAAGGCTGGTGGTCTATTTTCAGAATGTAGCATTTAGCCTTAAATGTAAAATTGGGATGTAAGAATGGCAGCCAGAATGGAAATAGAGTAGGATGGAAAGTTATACAATAGCACCATAGCCTATGGATGTGGCAGATCCAAAGTCCATTTACCTGAACAGTACCTTGAGAAACAGGAAATAGAGGAAGGGGTCAGTGTAACCAACAGAGATAGAAATCTCTCTGTTGAGAAATAGTAACTTAGGTAAAGAAGTAAGAGCTGTGTACATGTCAGAATGCATTCACCTCAAGAAGACTTTCCTGCCACAATGAACCAAGGGAGGTGGGAACAAATAAAGGTATAATAAAATTCCTTAAATAACTCAGCCATTCTGAGCTCCCCAGCCTATATAGCCCTACCATTTGCCCTCCCTTTATATTATATTATATTTTTATAATTTTATATTTGCCAGACTTAGTTTGGTAGTATACTTTTCTTTTAAAGAGATTTTTTTTTTAATATTTATTTTTTAGTTTTCAGTGGACACAAGATCTTTATTTTTATGTGGTGCTGAGGATCGAACCCAGCGCCCCACGCATGCCAGGCAAGCACGCTACCCCTTGAGCCACATCGCCAGCCCGGTAGTATACTTTTTTGCAGAAGTAAAGTTCACCTTGCCGAGCTACTTCTGACTATGTGTCTGATTCCTTGTGGCACTGGGTATTTCTACAACCAGTACACATTGAAATGACTTGTCTCTGTAAATGGAAGATAAACTTAGTATGTTTATTAAATATCTAAAACAGGAGAAACTTTTTAGATCTCATTTATTTAGATGTTCTTAAAAGTTCCTACATAATAGATGACAAGTATGTAATCCCATATCTTATTAACGTAATAGCATTACTAGTTGACCTTAGCATTCTCCCATGAAACCAACAGTTTTCTTATCAATGGAATGATTCAAGACTGATGATTATGGGCGCTTGTACACTAATGTAAATTCAGTGTACTCTTTTGCTGTGCTGTATCAGAGCTTAGACCAGATTATGATGTGGCAACAAATAACCCCCAAATCTTAATAGCTTACAATAGTTTATCCCATAATCATATTACATTTACCCTGTGCTGTGTGTTGTTTTCATTCTGTGATTCATACTAAAAGAGAAGTAGTCCCTATCTTGAACATGCTTTTCTCATGGCAGAGGGAAAGCAAGTGGTTAATTATGTATTGCTTTTCAAAACTTATTTTTAGAAGAGGCAAATTTCCCATTATATTGGCCAGAGCAAATCACATTACCAACTCCAATATCAGTGAGGTAGAAAGTGGGCCTTGGGAGGATAGGCAGTGGTTATTTAGAATAAATAATATACCACATCTACTTAGAACTGTTTCTTATCGGTTGTATGTGTTATTCAGTTTTGATGATGGAATGAAATCTGTATCTTTGTAAGTTCACGAAGGATTTGCTGTTAAATTCTTTCCATTATAATTCTCTTAGGAAATACTTTATTGTTTAATAAACTATTTCATTTTGCCTCTGTCAGGTGCTCGATCCCAGGCAGCTTCTATTTTAACCAAGTTTCAAGAACTCAAAGATGTTCAAGATGAGCTGAGAATTAAGGAGAGCGAGCTACAGGCTCTAGAGGAAGAATTGGCGGGTCTTAAAAACACTGCTGAAAAGTAAGACTTATGTTTTATTAAGCCATATATGTATCTCAAAGATTTGTGTGGCAGAAAATGATGCAAAATTTACTTCTGTTTAAACAAATTCATAACTTTGGTTTTGTTTAAAATATTTGAATAAATTGAGAGTCAAAAGGAATGTTTTGCAAATTTTAATTAAGCAAAAGGAGGAAATAAAGGTGAAATACTCTGCTCTCCCTACTGATGTACACTGTTGGTATACTCTTGGGGTTGTTGAGGAAACCCTTAGGTATTCTGGAGTCAGATATCATAGGATACTTGAGTTCTTGATTTTATCTTACTCGAAACAGTGGATCATGAATCAGGTGTCTGCACTAAGTTTAGCAGCATTCTGGCTGTCCCAAGATCACTAGGTTGCTGGAGGAGGAAGTAAAGTTCATGTCAAGGAGTCAGCACTAAGATTTTAACTTTCCCTTACGGTGTTTCTTCCGTGTGAGTGTAGATAAAGATATGCATGTATACTCAGCAGTACTTCTTTTCAGTTATAATTTAGGTGTATGCATATTTTCACTTTGTAATCTTTTTTTGTCACTTAACATTTTCACTCAATTACATATTTGTTGAATGCCTTCTATATGTACCATGTACTCTTCGTAGCAGTAAATCTTGATAAATCTCTCTTTATCTAGTTTTCATATAGTTGAGGAAATAAGATAAATTGGTAAAATATGTTAGATAGTTCTAAGAAGGAAAGAGGTGCTGATATTTTGATTGGATGGTCATGAAAAGCTCACTATGAACATGACTATTGAGTAAAACACCTGAAGGATAATTGTGAACAGGCCCTGTGGTTATCCAGGAGCGTCTCCACTCACTTTATAGTTTCATCAGAAGTACTGTAAATGTAGAAAATGCATTGTTTGAATGTTTAATTGTAATTTTTTTTAGTCTCTCTGAAGACAAATAGGAAGTAATGAAAACATTCAGAATTCACAGTATTGAATAAATGTAAAAAATCTAAATATATGTTCAATTTGGGGGAAGGGTACATTGATAGCATTTAATTTTTGAAGTTATCAAAGCTTAAAATGATACCAAGACTCTTGAGATATTGTATTATGAAAGAAATTTTCATATTTAAATTGGCCATTTCAAAATACAGATAGTATTAAAACAGCCTCTTTCAGATGTCACAAACATGTAAAGCCTTCTTCATTTTACACTTAGTAACAAAAATTAACAAGAGAGTAAATGAACTTTTTATGTGTGAATGATGCAACAAAATTTTTCTGTGCCATGTAAAATCTTTCTCAAGGCAATGAGTTCAGTTACATTTGGCTTGGATCTGTTAATTTTGTTCAGTTTTATTAGATCATTTGTTCTGTAACAAATGTGGCACTGAAAGAAAGAAAATAGATTTAGAAAAATATAAGACTATAAGCATCATCTAAAGCTATTCTTTCATATTGTGTTAGGAAATCAGTGTACATTTTTCTTCAAATGTCCATCTCACATTTTTTACATGTCTTGAAGTTACTTTAATTATTGGTGAGCAAGAGTTTCAATCACAAATATTCAAGATAGTGTTAATATTTTATGAGTTGTTTCCTTTTCCCTCAAACTTCATCAATTTCTAGTGACACGGTAATCTTGTGACTCATTAACTTAAAATTTCACTACAACTGAAATAGCCAAATATCTTCCAAAGAGATGACTAAGCCGTCAGAACCAAGGTAGTATTACAGGATCTGCACAAGGAAGTCCATTACAGATGACTAAGGTCAATTCCATGTTTTCATAAACTGTCTCATTACAAAAAGGGGAATATTAATATTATTACTGTTTAAAAATGGGAATAAGTAGGTAACTATATTTTTGAGACTTTATGTAATTTTAGGAATTGTCTTATTTTTGTGGTAAGTATTTTGTGGGTAGTTTTAGATATGAATCAGCAGGAGAGATTATTTGTGAGAAAACTTATTTACTCAGAAGTTATTTTTTATTATTATTAAGACTATTTTTATAACTATTTTGGTGACCAGATCAGACTTGAGTAGATGCCCCAAAATCTTGAAAGTCATCAACTTTTCTTGATAACTAGTTGTATCTAATATTGTTTATAATGTATGTGAGTTTATTTTAGGTGAGAACCTGATTTTGAATGCATGTCTCATACACCAGGAAAAACATTTATTACAAACTTCTTTTTCTAAGGTATCGCCAACTAAAACAACAGTGGGAGATGAAAACAGAAGAGGCAGATTTGTTACAAACCAAGCTTCAGCAAAGCTCATATCACAAACAACAAGAAGAATTAGATGCCCTTAAAAGAACAATTGGTAGTATCAAAATATTTTGAGCTTAACATGTTTATGTTAAAATTCTTTACATTTTGAAGATTCAGTTATATTTAAGACACATGTGGGAGCATTTTTTAATTTTTTTTTCATACTGAGGATTGAACTCAGGGGCATTCGACCACTGAGCCACATCCCCAGCCCTTTTTTGTATTTTATTTAGAGACAGGGTCTCACTGAATTGCTTAGCACTTCACTGTTCCTGAGGCTGGCTTTGAACTTAAGATCTTCCTGCCTCAGCCTCCCAGGCCTCTGGGATTAGAGGCATGTACCACCATGCCTGGCTTATGTGGGAGCATTTCTGTAGATTAAATCCAATATGGAACTTCAGGGTCTTAGGTCATCTTCATTATATGTCACTAGAGTTCTGTTCATTTTTAGCACTGTTCATTTCCACCAGTGGCATGTGAAAGTATTCATTTCTTCAGATCATTTCTAGACTTTTAAAATTCTGTAGTCTGCTGATTGGGAAGAGATAGCACATCAGCATTTTAATAAGTATTTAATTTTGGGATCTATTTTTGTATATTTATTGTATGTTTATTGCATTGTTGGGTTTCTCCTGTGAATTTTCTGTTTCGCTCTTTTCTTTTTCTTCTGTTAGGTGTGTTTTTTTTTCTCATAATTACAGTTTCTTGTAAGTTATGTGCATTATAGATGTTGTTGGCTTATTATCTTTTAACATTGTTTATAGTATTTTTGTCATATAAAAGTTTTTAATGTTAATTGTATTCAGTTATGGCCATCCCCCTAAATAAGTGCAAACCTTCTTGCACTTTTCATCAGATTTGTATATGAAAATTTATTTTTGTCATTCCTCCTACAATATCCACACACCTGTTTCTCCATTAGTATTTTTATTCTGCAATGAAAAGTAGTGTAAAATATTGTTTCAACATGGCTTCTAGAGTCCCATTTGCACCTAGGACCTAACACTTTTATGTGTTTCAATTGTTACATTAACATTTCCATTCTATCTTGTTTTTGTTACCAGGGATTAAACCCATGGGCAGTTAACCACTGAGCCACAACTCTAACCTGTTTTTATTTTTTATTTTTATTTTGAGACAGGGTCTTATTGAGTTGCTCAGGGCCTCCCTAAATTACTGAGGCTGGCTTTGAACTTACAATCCTCCTGCCTCAGCCACTGGAGCCATTGGGATTACAAGCATGTGCCACCAAGCCCATCTTGCTCTTTTATTTTTTTAATATTTTTTTCATACTTTATCCTAGATATGTTCTCACAGTGTTTCTCTAATGAGAGGTTCCTTGAATGTGTATAAGTGGGCATTTAAAATCACTGAAAAATACCATGGTTGTCCTATGAGTTCTGATTTTAGGAATTAGGTATATTAAAAATATGAACTGTGGGACTAGGACATAGCTTAGTGTTAGGATGTGTGTTTTTCATGTACGAGGCCCTACACACACACACACACACACACACACACACACACGCACGTGTTTGTATATGTAAATTATATGTATATGTATACATAGATACATAAATGTACACATATACACATGTGTATATGTATGTATATATGAATTGTGATCTTTTGGGTAAGTTACTCAAAAACTTAAAAGTAGGTAAGTTGTAGGTAAAATTGATGTTACTGATTAGAAATAATTTCATAGATCTTTAGATAATTGAAATATGGCTCTTATAGTATTTGTTTCACTATACAATCTTTAGAATATGGTTATAATAGTTAATTTTTTTAAACTCTAGCTTCTCATTTTTTAGGCCATTATATTAAAAGTTGAATTTATAAGTCTGTCCATAATTGTTAATTTAATTACATTTACTACTTTATGATCCAGAGGAAAGTGAGGAGACCTTAAAAAACACCAAAGAAATTCAAAAAAAAGCAGAAGAAAAATATGAAGTGTTGGAGAATAAAATGAAAAATGCAGAAGCTGAAAGAGAGAGAGAACTAAAAGATGCTCAGAAAAAACTGAATTGTGCCAAAACAAAGGCAGATGCATCTAGTAAGAAAATGAAAGAAAAACAACAGGTAAGCTTTCTTGAAATGGAACCAATCTTTTAAAGTCAACATAAAGCAGAAAATGGTAGAACATCATGGATTAACCTTATTCATTAATATTGATCCCAAAATCTAAAAGTGAGTTGTGTTATTTAGGAATTTGTAAGCCAAAGAAAACCCTGTAATTGAGTGTCTCATGTGCGTTTGGGGTGCATTAACTTACAAATTTTAGGTAAAGAACAAAGTAGCCTCTTAGTAATTGCTTCTTTCGGGAGTTTATGATACAGTGGAGCTGTATCATATCAGAGATTCAGCAAGTTGATGTTTCTATTTCATAAGTAATTACATGAATGAAAACAAAGTGTGCTGTGTTTACATTGAATTGTAGACTTGTGGTACTTCACAGTTTTTGAATAGTATCAGAGCTGGAATTTGAACCTCTCTTTTTGTCTCCTAATACTAAATCTTTCCTATCATTTCCATCCATCTCTACCTTTCAATTTTTCTTAACCTAAGATTCTGTTATTAAATAGCAGCACAAAGTATTTTCTAGTGAATTGAAAGTTTATAATGGTAAAAAGAAAATTAAGAAGATGACTTTTTTGCACATTGAATAATTTTGTTTAAAAAAAACTAATTCATCTGTTAAGTAGAATTTTGTATTATTTTCCTTATATGAATAAAAAGACAAAGTAATCAATACAGTTATTTAAATCCATAAAAATTAGGGATTTATAATTTAAATAAAAATTATAATTTGTTCCTCATCTTTTAAACATGAAATTATACTTCCATTTTCCCCTTTTTCTGGGGAGGCAGTTTAACATGTGCTTTTGGTAGTTGAGTCGTTGATGGGTTAGTTGACAATGAGGCTACTGTTAATTTTTAGCCCTATATTTATTTGTCAACAGTTAATTACTTGTGTGAATACCTAGATATTGTGTTTGTTTAGGAAGTTGAAGCTATCACTTTGGAGCTGGAAGAGCTCAAGAGAGAGCATGCATCCTATAAACAACAGCTTGAAGCTGTAAATGAAGCTATCAAATCCTATGAAGGTCAAATTGAATTAATGGCAGCTGAGGTAGCTAAAAATAAGGTAAGATTTATCAAATTGGAGAAACTGAGATACACGTTAGTTTTTCTGTCTTTTCACTCTTGTCACGGTTTGAGCATATGGCAAAAAATGGCGATTATAGATCCAGAAAGAACCCTGAAATAACATCAATAATTGTTCAAGTCTCAGTCTACTCAGAATACAAAATACACACTAGTTTGGACAAGCAGAGTTTAAAGAAAAAAATTATTATCTGTAGAAGTTTGGGATGATGGAAATTGATCACTAATGTGTTAAGAGAATTCTTAAAAAATGAAGAAACAACAAAAAGAGGAAATAGCCCCTATGGCTGAGGAACATATTTGATAAAGAGCCCCATTCCACTCAGAGGGCTGTGGACCAGATCTAGTTGCAGAAGGCATAGCTGTGGCCCACCGGTGGTGATGTTTTCTGAGATGTCAGCAGAAACTGTCCACAGTGAAGTGCTGCATGTATGTGGTACCTACTTGGAAATAGATTTCTAGAACACTGGCCACAAGATGGTGTCCATCCTGGAGACTTGTGAAGCCTCGTGCTATGAGGCCAGATGCAACTGCTTTTGTTAAAAGCATGCTGGAACCAGCTCAGAGTCCCTTCTTCCTACACTGTCCTTATGGTAACATTTACTGATGAGGCTTAGTATGGTTGCAGATGGGAAGGGAGAAATGTTCCATTCTCCAGAAGCAGGATAATGAAGGGTAGATTTTGAGTTGAGAGGATTTCAAATGTTATAAAGAAATACTGTTACCTGGAAGTCAGTATTACAACAGTCTGTATTAGAGACTGCCCTTCATGAATAATGAATATGCTCTATCACTTTTTGTAGAATATTTAATTCTGTTGATTTCTGTTTGTACTTTCCTTTTTGTAATACCACTTTCATTATCAAGGTTTCTTTCATCAGCTATAGATATTATTTTTTATAAGTAGTATATCTCATTTGAGTTTCATGTGAACTAAATGTACATGGCAGTCAACAGGGGACTTTGGTTCATTTACACACACTTTCCCTTTTGTCAGATGCTTCTATATTTTTTACGTTTTTCCCCTTGAGATGATTGTTTTGGAAAATGCATTTTCCTCTTGGTTTTAGTCTTGGCTACATTCAATGTCTTTTTTGTTTTTAACACATTTATAGCATAAATAGAACAATAGAATAACAATTTTAACTACACTTTTTGATTATAAAATCACAATTCATCTCACTTTGTTTTGTTAGTGATTAGTGTTTTTCCATTTCTATTCAGTTTTATTTTTTGCTTTCAAAGTAAACTTTTTGATTTTTTTTTATCTCATTCTGTCCCTCTGTATTTTCTGCTAACATTTCATCAGCATCATGTTGTAGAATTTTTAAAAAGGATGTATTAGTTTTCAAAGAGAAATGTGAAAATAATCCCCTCCTTTCTTAATCTAAAAACCAAAATCAAAATGTGAACATAATTCCATTAAAAGGGTATTTGTTTCTTTTTAACAGAAAACTATAAAATGTTCTCACTTAGTTTTTAAAGGTTGTTCATTCAGGTTCTGCATTATAAATTATTTCCTTTTGCTGATAGGAGTAAATAATCACACTTGTGGGAAGCTAAAAAAACAAAAACTACCTACCTACTAACTAATCATATTGAGATAAACAAGACTGAAACTTCATTTCTGTTCAGTCTTAAGTGATAGATTTCCTTCGTATTTTTCTACCATTGTAAAAAAGATTGGAAGTCAAATCTGCAGTATATTCTTTATACTCCAGATAGAAGATAATCTTTGTAAACATGTTTTTGTCAAGTGTAGTTTTAGTTAATAACCCTTTGTCTTTATTTCTTTTAGTTAGCAGAGTTTTATTCACTTCCTTTTTTTGTTCTTGAAATGTTTTTAAAAAGCTAAAATATCTTTTTTTTATTTACTTTTTTTTAGTTATAGATAAACACAATATCTTTATTTTTATGTGGTGCTGAGGATCGAACCCAGTGCCTCATGCATGGTAGGCAAGTGCTCTACCTCTGAACCACAACCCCAGCCGGCTAAAATATCTTTTGAGGTTTTAAGATGAATGCCAGAATTTGCCTTCCTGTGAAAGACCTCTAATGGTACAATTTAGGCAGGAAATTAAATCATACTGGGACCATTTAAGAGCCTGACATGGAGCATTTTTTGTTGCTCAAAATTATCTGGTTTTCTGATAAGTATGCCTAAAAAATACCTGAACTTTTACTGGTGTTTGTAAACTACTTTAAGGAGGTCTGTTCTTCCTTAGAGTTTTTTGGCAGTTCGTTCTATTTACTTGTTTTTGCCCTTTGTTTTTCCTCCAACCTAAATATAAATTGAACTAGGAGTTTTCTGCTGTTGGTGTTGTGTTTTGTTTTCTTGTTGTTTCAAATACACATTTGTGTGAGTTTGGAATTATATCTTTACCCAAAAGGATATTTAAGATCTAGGAGGAAGCAAAGGTGTTTGTGAATATTGGTATAGTAAATCCCAAGGACAGTTAGCATTTCAGAAGTTAAGCAGCCCCAACTTTGGGAAGCATGATAGTAGTGAAAGTCAGGTCAAGAATTTTTTTCCCTGGGTGTGGGTGGCCCACGCCTATAATCCCATTGACTTGGGATGCTGAAGCAGCAGGATCCTGAGTTCAAAGTCAGCCTCAGCAACTCAGTGAGACCCTTTGTCTCTAAATAAAATACAAAAAAGGGCTGGGGATGTGGCTCAGTGGTTAAATGCTCCTGAGTTCAATAAATGGTATCAAAAAAAAAAAAAAGTTTTTCTTTGTGCCATAGGTCTCTTCCTTCCAAAACAGCTTTGCTTTCTCTTCTATTTCTCTGTTTTGACCCCTGCGTTAGAATCAAATGCTGTGACTTTCTGTTACCTTTGGTAAGATCCAGATGCTTTATATTACAGAATAGAGAAAGAGCAAGACCCAGCCTCCCTCTCTTTTCTCTGATCTTTGCCCTTCCTGTCATCTGGGAGTCTGTTACATTATCTTCTTGTTAACTACCCAGAATATTACTTTTTTGAGAGACCTCACAGGTCAGCTTCCAGTAGTCCCTCCTTCCACCCAATTAATTCCATCTACACTATATTCATCAAAAACTATTATTTTCTGTATGAACATTGTTCCCCAGCCTGTTTTACTTCCAGTGGTGATCATCCCTTTGTCCTGTGTGTCAATTCATTGTCATCTTAATGGGGATATAAAATGTAGAATATTAGATGACCATCTGATTGTAATCACATTGACTTCTTGCTAGAAGTCTGTCAGACAAGCTTTTAGTAAAATAAAAACATTTACATTATTCTTTAATTTTTTTTCTTTCTTTTAGGAGTCAGTAAATAAAGCTCAAGAAGAGTTGACCAAGCAAAAAGAGGTGATAACAGCTCAAGACCATGTAATTAAAGCTAAATATGCAGAGGTGGCAAAACATAAGGAGCAAAACAATGATTCTCACCTTAAAATTAAGGAATTAGACCATAATATCAGCAAACATAAAAGGGAAGCAGAAGATGCTGCGGCAAAGGCATGTTTGTGTTTATTTTTATCATTAATAATCAAGTTTTTGTTTCTGGGTCATTGAAAAAATTCTAGTATACTGCTCAGTGAAAAACTTTATATAAAAGGCAGAACAATAGCCTAACATAATTTGAGCACACACTATTTTAACTGCTTCTCAACAGTACTTACTTTCAACAAATGTCACAAATGTTTTATTTTTAAATTTAGTTTCAGATATTTGTTCCCATCAATAAGATGTATTTATTTAATGTTTAATGGTTTCCCATGTGAATAACTGCTTTTATCCCTAAATATTGATAGAACTAACTATTAATGTACTGGAATGATAAATATTTCATTAACTTTATTTCAAATTCAACTTATATACATATTTATTTCACTGAATTTTTATATGTATATATATGTATGTATGTATATATACACACACACACGGACACATATATAGGCATTGTAAAAAGACTTAATTGCCTTTTACATGGTCTTATAAAAGGATCAGTTTTTTTTCAGTTTTATTAAAAAATCTGATGTTTTACAAAAACAGTTATTTTGAGATTATTCCACAGTTTTTTGGTCACTTTTAAAACTTTCTTTCTGTGTTACAGTACCTTAAAGAAGAAAACAAAATTTTGCAGAAATTTGTTGTTTAGTTGAAAGGCTACATCCATATGGTCTTAACTATTCATTCATTATATTTTCCTATGAGTGTATAACACCCTGCTGCTTTTTTCACACGTGGGATCTTTTTAAGCATCCTGAAAGTACAAAAACTTTAACTTCAAAAGAATCATCAAGAACATACAAAATAGTCTTTCCACCCTCTGAAAGAATTATAGATGCCCATATAAGTTCACTTCTTGGCTTAAAAAAAAATCATAATCTTCCACTTCATTACTGATGATTTCTTTTTAACATAATAGTGGTAGTGGAATCACTGAGATATTACCAATACCAATATTACTACTAATCGTTTTTGATAATTGAAAATGTTAGTATTTGTGATTGCTGGAGTTTTTTTGTTTGTTTTGGTTGTTGTTTTGTTTCTGTTTTGCTATTTAGGGGATAAAAGGAGGTATTTGCCAGTGGAGCTGCTAAAATCTTTGAAACATATTTTCTTTGAAAAACATTTAGGCATGCCTGTTAATAACAGCTACTATACTGGGCACTGAAGATATAAGAATGAGTAACACATATGGAATACTTTCACAGGACTTAAAAGTCAGCACAGATGATAGACTTTTGTAAATGATAATTTTGCTTTGGGGCCTAAGGATAAGCCTATACCCATGAAATTAGTGATGGTTGACAAGTTGATAAGGATTAGATTCTACCATTTAGCATGAATCTTAATTCTTATAGAAGAAAGCCTTTAATAACTATAATTTGAATTTTTTTTCATTGTATTATATGAAGAGGTATTAATACTGTGAAGTATTATACTGAAGCTAGCGGGAATAATAGAGAGTCAACATTAGGGCAATTTTTTTCCCTCAGACTTTAATCTTGGTAGAATTATTACATAGGCTTCCATGATTTTACTAAACCTGTGACTTAAGCATTTTGCAGGAATTTTAGCTCATCACAAGTTGTTTTTTGAAGCAATAGATTCAGTTTGGTAAAATCTGTAAGAGTCTCTCTAAAGGAGCCTGATCTAACTTACCTTTTAAATGGAGATATTTTGTGTAGGTACTTTAAGGATCTTAATCCAAAAATCTTAATTGCTTCAAAATCCAAAATCTGACATTATTCCACATCTTATGTAATGTGTCATAGTCAAAACAAAGGCACATTAAAAATAACATAAAATTAACCTTCAGATTATATGAGGTATGTATGGAACATAAATGAATTTTTTTTTTTTAAAGACTGGGGTTCCTTCCCCAAAATATCTCATTATGTATATATAAAAATATTCCAAATTATTTTTTAAAACACTTCTGATCTTAAGCATTTTGGATAAGTGATACTCAGTCTGTACCTTATAAAAATTTCTGTGAGTTGACTCCTTCTAATGCTAAAGTAATAGGAAGATCTTTTTCTATAAGATCTGTTGTTTCTTGACCCTGTGCTCTAGGTAAAGATATTCATTCTTATTTCTGTCAATGGTGAACCTCAATTTTTCAGATGATTATTGTATTTTTTTCTCCCGAATATTTGATTTTAAGTTAGTAAATATTTATGAAACTGGTTTATAAATGTTTTTTAAACAATCATAGATCTTTCTGTTTTCATATGTGGCTAGGTATCCAAAATGTTGAAAGATTATGACTGGATTAATGCAGAGAAACACCTCTTTGGCCAACCTAATAGTGCCTATGATTTCAAAACTAATAACCCCAAAGAAGCTGGTCAGAGACTTCAGAAGTTGCAAGAAATGAAGGAGAAACTAGGAAGAAATGTCAATATGAGAGCTATGAATGTACTGACAGAAGCTGAAGAGCGAGTAAGTCAATTTCCTATGGATATCTGAGCATATTAGAATGAAGTAGCATTGATGGGCTCTGTATGACCTCTATGAAATTATTTCATCCAACTTTTGCTTAATGCCCTAGGTACTTTGTTTTTTATTTCCCTTTTTCCCCCTTTTCTTCATTTCTGATGACTTTATTTTTTTACCAGTTGTTTTTCTGTTCTGCTGTACCTTGCATGATATTTCCATTGTTTTTTGCTCTTTGCTGTAAACATGTAAGTAAAAAACACTTATAGATCCCATTAATTCCTTAGTTCTGGCATAACCACTATTTTACTACTCTCTAAATTGAGCAGCATCTTCTAGGTCATAATGCTCTTGATTACTTAATAGTTATCCATTTCTCCTACCCTGATAAAACTCTAGAAAGGGAATTTTAATGTCTCCTAGTAATGAACTTGGAAAGTCTTGCCACGAGAAAAACCCTGTGGGAACCACAGTCCCCACTCTTTGGGACACCGTAGGAAGAGGCAATCTTAGAAATTTTGTGTTAATGTCTCATACTTTCCTTAATTCTACAAAATTCTGTTTAAATTTTATATTAAAGTAAATTGAGAGATCTGCAGAAGTGATAGTGTGTATGAGCTTGGTTACTCCTAAGAAATTTTGTTATAAGTCTTTAAAAAATATATTAGTGACATTTCTGTATACAAGCAATCTGTTATTTTACATACCAAACAGGATAATAGTGCAGGTGCTGTGATCTTCTCTATAAAATGCTGGTTTTCATTTTTCTACATTATAGCTTTAAAAGTGTGGCATATTTGTGGAAGGAAATATTTTATCTAAATATGAGCTGCACACTATTGTAGAATTTACATACTTTTTGAAAACAATGATACCTAGTCCTTTTTTTTTTGTAAGAATTCATCAGGTCTTTTCTCCTTATCAGAGATGAAGACTCTCTTGTTGATCAGCAGATGGCTTTTTTTTTTTTTTTCTTGTGGTTTCTTGGTCTGTTCATGTAAGAAATTACATGGACATATGCAAAAAAAAAAAAAAGATATAAAAATACAAAGAGGAGGTTGGCCAGTAAGGACTGGGACAGTGAGAAAGAACAAGACTGGCTGGAGTTACTAACAGAGAATATGGAGTTTTCTTGAAATGTGCAGCTTAGAGGAAAAATGGGTTAGGAAGCATTTTAGAATGTTTTAAGGCTGTTCAGGATGTAACTATTCCACTGCAGCCTCCCTCAAGGGAAGAGATGATGTTTGAATTAAAAGTCCAGGCACCCATAATGTAGATACAGGAAAGAGCATTCTAGCAAAAAAACAAAAACAATGAAGAGAATAAGTTTATCATGTTCAAGAAGCTGAAAAAAAAAGATAAACAAGGCTAGACTCTGGGGAAGAGTCTGATGCTTTGAAGTCAGAGATAAATAATAGCCAAATTCTATTATTGTGAAGAATTAAAATTTTACTTATGTTATTTCTAAGACTTTTCCTTTTTATTCAGAACATTTACTTGAGTTTACATATGACACATTTTCCTTTTTGCTTTGATTGCTAGGAAGATAATATAATACTAATGGTTAAAATATTTTGAGAAATATTCCTAAAAATTCTCACTTCTAATAATTGAATTTTACTATAAACATTTGGGTGATATATTTACTTTACTCATAATTTGTTTTGCATTATAATTCTTAGTACATTGTACCTTTTGGTAAATAGGATTGTATGTATTATATTTAAAATAATGAAACCTCTTATTCCTGAGTGAATTTCAGAATATGGAGGAAACTTTGTATTTACCAAATATGCTTAAAAATTATGCTTTTTAATCTCACAGTATAATGACTTGATGAAGAAGAAGAGAATTGTAGAAAATGACAAATCCAAAATCCTTGCAACTATAGAAGACCTTGACCAAAAGAAAAACCAAGCTCTAAATATTGCTTGGCAAAAGGTATTTGAGCCCTAAAATGCTTTCTTTCATTCTGTATGAGTCAAGGGTCAACATTGGGTATATATTCTAAGAGGAATTTGATATGACTAATTATGTTTAAATGAGGCCTATGCTTACGCCTTAATTTAAACTTAATAGACTTTAAATGCATTTTATCTTTTTGAACTTGACTGTTTTTGTCACTCCATCAAGTCGTGTACTATGGTTCTTAAGCACTATTAAATCCTGATTTTCTAGCTTTCTCTATTTCTTACTAGTATCCTCATTTACCAGGACAGCATTACTTTTGAAGGAGATTCTATTCATTTTCTTTACTACTTAGGTGTCTGTAGGCTTTTAACACATGGAGGAAACCTTGGATGCTATTCAATTTCTGTTGTACTCCACTCAGCTTCTGCTTGAAACTAGAAATAGTCAATATCTATTTCACATGGTCGAAGCTCTGCTTATTGAAACCAGAAACCCTTTTCCAATGATGTTTCCAATTCTACCATCTTCAGCTTCTCTTGTTCAGACTAACAAAAGTCAAATATTAGTTCTTAAACGTTTCCACAGCAGTTTTTTTAAAAATATATTTTCAGTTGACATAATTACAATATGTAGTGATCAGACCCCAGGTAATTGACATATCCATTACCTCTGACATTTAATATTTCTTTTTGTTGGAACATTCAAAATCCTATATACTAGCAATTTTAAAATAATTGCTGTCAGTCATAGTTATCCTGCTGTACATAGAACATTAGAATTAATTCCATCCTGCTGTACTCCTTATACCTATTAACAATCTTCTCTTCATCCCTCCTTACCCATATCCTTCTAGGTTTCTAGTAACCACTATTCTAGTCTTTCCTTCTCTGAGATCAGATTTAGCTTTCATATAAAAGCCAGAACTGTATTTGTCTTTCTGGGCCTATTTCACTTAACATATGTCCTCCTATTCCTTAGATGACAGAATTTTATTCCTTTTTAATGGCTGAATTAATATTCCATTTATTCATCAATACATACCTTGGTTGATTTCTACCTAAAAGTTTATCAATTTGGTTTATTGATTTTTGTTTTTTTGGTTTTTTTTTTTTTAGTTTCTTTTTTATTTTTAGAAGCTGCCATCTTTGTTATTTTTTTCCTATACTAATTTGGGGTTTTGTTTGTTCTTGCATTTCTGGTTCCTTACAGCACATTGTTATGTTGTTGGAATTTGTATTTGTTTGGTTTTGATGTAGGTACTTCCTGTGTAAATTTCTTCATTGACCCATTAGTCATTCATGAAATGCTTTCATTTGTATTTGTACTATTTCTAAAGTTTCCCCAGTCATTGATTTCTAGTTTTATTGTATATGGTTAGAGAAGATAACAAATCCAAAAATCACAGCATGCTAAGACTTGTTTTGTGACCTAACATATGGTCTGTCCTGGAGAATGTTCTTTATAATGATGAAAAGAATATGTTTTCTGCAGTTATTGGATGAAATTTCTATAACTCTCTGTTAGGTTCAATCAGTCTATGGTATGATTTAACTCTGATGTTTCTTTGTTGATTTTTTTTTTTGGTCTGGATGATTGGTACATTGATGAAAGTACAGTGTGGAAGTCCCCATCTATTATTAGTCTCTGTTTTAGATCCAGTCAATAAGTGTTGCCTTATATAATTGGGTGCTCCAGTGTGGAGTGCTTGTATATTTACAATTGTTATTTCCTCATGTGAAATTGATTCCCTTGTCATTATATAGTAACCTTGTCTCTCTTTACAGTTTTTGATTTGAAGTCTATGTTTTCTGTTAGAAGTATACCTATTCCCACTTACTTTTTGTTTTGATTTGTATGGTATATCCTTTTCCTTCCCTCTATTTTCAATCTGTGTATCTTTACTGGTGAAGTAAGTTTCTTCAAGGCATCATATTATTGGGTCTAGTTTTGTTTTTGTTTTTTAATCCATCAGCCAGTCAGTATTTTAATTGGGAAAATTCATTTAAAAATTCAAGGTATTATTGATAAATGACATTATACTCCTGTTAATATTTTTATGTTCATTTGTATATCCTCTGTTAATTTATTGTTCATCTTTGTGGTTCGGTGGTTTTCTGTTTGGTAAGATTTTTGTTTTTGTTTTTTTAATCACATTATCTACTCTGTTAAGTTTTAAAATTTTGTGTTTTCATGATTGTACTTCCCATTCTTTCACTTCCAGTGTCGAACTCTAAAGCATTTCTTGTAGGTCTGATTTGGTGATGAATTTCCTCTGTTTTGTCTCGAAAAGTATTATATCTATTATAACCTTCATTTCTGTTGAGTAGCTTTGTTGGGTATAATGTCCTTGGTTGACAAATTTTTCTTTCAGGACTTTGAATAAATCATCTCATTCTCTTCAGGTGTATAAGGTTTTTTTTTTTTCAACAGAGAAATCTGCTCTTCATTCAATGACTTGATTTTTTCCTCTTACTGGTTTTAGAGTTCTCTCTTTATCTTATGCTTTTAAGAGGACCTATTCTGGTGAAATCTATTATTAGTCTTTTGAGCTTACTGGTTTTGGATGTCCCTGTCTTGGAATGTTTCAGCAGCTATTCTGTTAAGCAGGTTTTCAGTGTCTTTTCCTTTCTTTTTTCCTATGGGAACACCTATACAGTGAATGGTTGCTCACTTAATGGTGTCCCATAAATCTCATAAAGTTTCTTCTTTTTTGTCTTACTAGTCTTTAAGCTCAGAAATTTTTTCTTCTGCTTGGTCTAGCCTGCTTTTTATACTCTACACTATATGTTGTGTTTATTGAGTTCTCCGAGGTTTATTTTATGCTTCTTTTATGATCTTTTTACTGAAATTTTCTATTTGTTTAATGAATTATCTTCCTAATTTTGTTGTATTGTCTGTATTCTGTAGTATCTCATTAAATTTTCTTAAAAATCATTTTGAAGCCTTTTTCAGCTAGTTCTTGGATTTCCTTTTCTTTTGGATCCATTGCTGGACAGTTATTATGTTCCTTTGAGGCCATCATGTTAGCTTATGCTTTTATATGCTTTCTGTGTCTGTACATTGATATTTGTGCATCTGGTGGATCAATTAATTGCCTATACCAGTTTATTGGGCGGATTTCACAGTGTCAGACTTTATCCTAGCAATGTTTCTAGGAAGTCAGTAGGATAGGGTGTATTGAATTTGGTTTCACATGACTGTCTTGGTCTGTTGTTTGTGTACTTTCTTCAGTTGAAGTCAGTGTAAGTGTTGTCTGTCGGTGTCCAGTAACCTAAGCTACAGGGGTTGTGGGATTGCATTCACAACTGGGATGCAACCCATCTAGGTAAGATAGATTTTTCTGGTGACTGGGCACAGTGTGTCCTGCCGTAGGTATAAGCATCAGTTTCTGCAGGATGTTTAGGGTTGCTCTGGTGGGCAGTTTTAGTCAAGGCACAGCTGGTACAGCAGCAGAGATGTGGCACCTGTCATTTTCTGAGGATCAATGAGGTGGGCATAGGTTGGTGAAGTACAGTATGCCCAACAGCAAATAGGACACTTTTCAGTAGCTCATACTGGTGGGTCCAGATGGGGGACCCTTCAGTGTCCATTGGCTGCATGGCTGACTTTATAGGGAATCTGGGTGGCATCCTGTGCATCTTTTTCCTGGGACTGAAGGATGTTGGGTAATCTGACTGGTTTGCAGGTTTGGTAAGGGCAGCTGCCTGTTTCAAAAGTGGCCTCTTTCTACTATCAACTTCTACTGTGTAGGATGTTACTTAGATGAACAGTTACTCTTTAGATGTTGTTCCTTAGTTAAGGCTGTATTCAGAAGTGCTGCTTGTCACCAAGAGACTTCCTAATTATATTTACATTTCAATTTTGTGTACGTATAGTTGAATTTGGAGATCTCCCTGGAGAACATGACTGTCAAATTCTGAAGATTTATTTTTGCTGGAGGGGAATATGGGTTTGTATGTATGTATACCCTCAAATATGCTTTAAGTTATTAAGTCACGTCTTTGAAGACAGGTGGCCAAATTCCCAAATCATTGATTAGGTGTGTATGCACAAAATTTTCCTGTTACAAACTAGAATTCTGTCCCTAAATTCCTGTATATAGTATCTTTTTTATATTTTTTTTTGAAGGGTATATCTTTTTTTTTATTATTATTAGGAGTTCATAATCTGCTTGAATCAAATGTATGAAATATGATATGTCAAGAGCTGTGTAATGTTTTGAACAACTATTTTTACCCCGTATACATATTGCAGATTCACATCGGTTACACATCCACTTTTTTACATACTGCCATACTAGTGTCTGTTGTATTCTGCTGCCCTTCCTATCCTCTACTATCCCCCTCCCCTCCCATCTTCTCTCTCTACCCCATCTACTGTAATTCATTTCTCTCTCTTGTTTGTTTTTTCCCCTCTCCTCACTTCCTCTTATATGTAATTTTGTATAACAATGAGGGTCTCCTTCCTTTACCATGCAATTTCCCTTCTCTCCTCTCGTCCCTATTTAATGGTGATCATCTTCTCATGCTCTTCCTCCCTATTCTGTCCTTAGTTGCTCTCCTTATAACAAAGATGACATTTGGCATTTGTTTTTTAGGGATTGGCTAGCTTCACTTAGCATAATCTGCTCTAGTGCCATCCATTTCCCTGCAAATTCCATGATTTTATCATTTTTTAGTGCAGAGCAATACTCCATTGTGTATAAATGCCACATTTTTTTTATCCATTCATCTATTGAAGGGCATCTAGGTTGGTTCCACAGTCTAGCTATTGTGAATTGTGCTGCTATAAACATCGTTGTAGCAGTATCCCTATAGTACGCCCTTTTAAGGTCTTTAGAGAATAGTCCAAGAAGGGGAATAGCTGGGTCAAATGGTGGTTCCATTCCCAGCTTTCCAAGAAATCTCCATACTGCTTTCCAAATTGGCCGCACCAATTTGCAGTCCCACCAGCAATGTACAAGTGTTCCCTTCTCCCCACATCCTCGCCAGCACTTGTTGTTTGACGTCATAATGGCTGCCAATTTTACTGGAGTGAGATGGTATCTTAGGGTGGTTTTGATTTGCATTTATCTGACTGCTAGAGATGGTGAGCATTTTTTCATGTACTTGTTGATTGATTGTATGTCCTCCTCTGAGAAGTGTCTGTTCAGGTCCTTGGCCCATTTGTTGATTGGGTTATTTGTTATCTTATTGTTTAATTTTTTGAGTTCTTTGTATACTCTGGATATTAGGGCTCTATCTGAAGTGTGAGGAGTAAAAATTTGTTCCCAGGATGTAGGCTCCCTATTTACCTCTCTTACTGTTTTTCTTGCTGAGAAAAAACTTTTTAGTTTAAGTAAGTCCCATTTGTTGATTCTTGTTATTAACTCTTGTGCTGTGGGTGTCCTATTATGGAATTTGGATCCCAACCCCACAATATGTAGATCGGAGCCAACTTTTTCTTCTATCAGGCGCAGAGTCTCTGATTTGATGTCAAGCTCTTTGATCCATTTTGAGTTAACTTTTGTGCATGGCGAGAGAAAGGGATGCAGTTTCATTTTGTTGCATATGGATTTCCAGTTTTCCCAGCACCATTTGTTGAAGATGCTATCCTTTCTTCATTGCATGCTTTTAGCCCCTTTATCAAATATAAGATAGTTGTAATTTTGTGGATTGGTCTCTGTGTCCTCTATTCTGTACCATTGGTCCACCTGCCTGTTTTGGTACCAGTACCATGCTGTTTTTGTTACTATTGCTCTTTAGTATAGTTTGAAATCTGGTATCGCTATACCGCCTGATTCACACTTCCTGCTTAGAGTTGCCTTTGCTATTCTGGGTCTTTTATTTTTCCATATGAATTTCATGATTGCTTTCTCTATTTCTACAAGAAATGCCGTTGGGATTTTGATTGGCATTGCATTAAACCTATAGAGAACTTTTGGTAATATCACCATTTTGATGATGTTAGTTCTGCCTATCCATGAACAGGGTATATTTTCCATCCTCTAAGATCTTCTTCTATTTCTCTCTTTAGGGTTCTGTAGTTTTCATTGTATAAATCTTTTACCTCTTTTGTTAGGTTGATTCCCAAGTATTTTATTTTTTTTGAGGATATTGTGAATGGGGTGTTTTTCCTCATTTCCATTTCAGAAGTTTTGTCGCCGATATACAAAAATGCCTTTGATTTATGCATGTTGATTTTATATCCTGCCGCTTTGCTGAATTCATTTATTAGTTCTAGTAGTTTCTTTGTAGACCCTTTTGGGTCTTCTAGGTATAGAATCAGGCCTCCCTCAAATAGTGATAATTTAAGTTCTTCTTTTCCTATTTTCATGCCTTTAATTTCTTTTGTCTGTCTAATTGCTCTGGCCAGTGTTTCGAGAACTATATTGAATAGAAGTGGTGATAGAGGGCATCCCTGTCTTGTTCCAGATTTTAGAGGGCATGCCTTCAATTTTTCTCCATTCAGAATGATGCTAGCCTGAGGCTTAGCGTAGACAGCTTTTACAATGTTGAGGTAAGTTCCTGTTATCCCTAGTTTTTCTAATGTTTTGAACATAAAGGGATGCTGTACTTTGTCGAATGCTTTTTCTGCGTCTATCGAGATGATCATATGGTTCTTATCTTTAAGTCTATTGATATGGTGAATAACATTTATTGATTTCCGTATATTGAACCATCCTTGCATCTCAGGGATGAATCCTACACGATCATGGTGCACAATTTTTTTGATGTGTTTTTGTATCCGATTCGCCAGAATTTTATTGAGGATTTTTGCATCTAGGTTCATTAGAGATATTGGTCTGTAGTTTTCTTTCTTTGAGGTGTCTTTGTCTGGTTTCAGAATCAGGGTGATGTTGGCCTCATAGAATGAATTTGGAAGAACTCCCTCTTTTTCTATTTCCTGAAATAACTTGAAAAGTATTGGTATTAATTCTTCTTTAAAGGTTTTGTAAATCTCCGCTGTATACCCATCCGGTCCTGGGCTTTTCTTGTTTGGTAGTCTTTTGATTGCTTCTTCTATTTTATCCATTGATATTGGTCTGTTCAAATTGTGTGTATCCTTGTGACTCAGTCTGGGCAAATCCTATGACTTAAGAAATTTATCGATGTCTTCACTATCTTCTATTTTATTGAAATATAGGTTTTCAAAATAATTTCTAATTGTCTTGTGTATTTCTGTAGCATCTGTTGTGATATTGCCTTTTTCATCCTGTATGTTAGTAATTTGAGTTCTCTCTCTTCTTCTCTTCGTTAGCATGGCTAAGGGTCTGTCGATCTTATTTATTTTTTCGAAGAACCAACTTTTAGTTTTGTCAATTTGGGGGGAAAAATATACCACGCACACGGTCCTCGTAAGCAAGCAAGCAGGGGTGGCCATCCTCATCGAATAAAATCGACTTCAAGACTAAGTTAAACAAAAGGGATAAGGAAGGACATTATATACTGTTAAAAGGAACCATTCACCAATAAGACATAACAATTATCAATATTTATGCACCAAATAAGGGTGCTGCGACGTTCATAAAACAAACTCTCCTCAAGTTCAAGAATCAAATAGACCACAACACAATAATTATGGGTGACTTCAACACACCTCTCTCCCCATTGGACTGATCCTCCAAGCAAAAGTTGAATAAAGAAACTATAGAACTCAATATCACAATCAATAACCTAGACTTAACTGACAGATATAGAATATATCATCAAGTGGATATACTTTTTTCTCTGTAGCACATGGATCCTTCTCAAAAATAGACCATATATTATGCCATAGGGCAGCCCTCAGTAAATATAAAGGGGTGGAGATAATACCATGCATTTTATCTGATCATAATGGAATGAAACTGGAAATCAATGTATATAGTATCTTACTGTAGCAAGATAGGGGAATACCAAGTAGCTTTCTCATCTTTTTTTTCTTTTGGAATACAGTGCCATTCCTGGCCCATCACACCCATCCTTTTTGATTATTAGATGAGGGATATAGAAAAGAATCCTTTAACATCTTCAACTAATCTGGTCCTTCAGTTTTATTTCTTCTTTTCTCCAAGACCTCATCTTGCTTTACATAGGTATTTAGTTGGTGACCCTTGACCCATCTTACCCTGTTAATCAACAGGAGGAAAAAATTTACAAGGGAATATTTTTTTGTTGTGTGTTTGCTTCTCCAACTTTTGTATTTTTCCCCCATGTGAAATAATTGTGTTTTTCTTGAGGATTCTTTTAATATGTTCTATAAAAGCATGAAAACTTTGGAATAGAAGTAGAAATGTAGCCTCTAATTTCCTCCCTGAAAGTTAGGGTATGTCTTAGTAAATTGTTTTAGTTCAGGTCCAGATATTTCTGTCGTTATGGGCTAGCCAGTCTCTGCCATAGTGCTAACAACCATAGACAGTTTCTAAATGAATGGACATGGGCAGATGTCACATGAGATAGTTAGCCAACCTCTAAATTAAAATAACATATAACAAAATGGACCTGATGAATATCATGTACATATACAAGTAATTAATCCTTCTTAGAAAGCATTCTGATGTTTTAATATGACTTTTTTAATCCAGGTAAACAAAGACTTTGGGTCTATTTTTTCTACTCTTTTGCCTGGTGCAAATGCTATGCTTGCACCACCAGAGGGACAAACTGTTTTGGATGGTCTCGAGTTCAAGGTTGCTTTAGGAAATACTTGGAAAGAAAACCTAACTGAGCTTAGTGGTGGTCAGAGGTGAGTAACCCTTTACAATATTATAATAGCCCATTCTCTTTATTTTATTGTAATCCTTTATTTCATTACCTTCTAATTGTATTTGAATTTTGATTTGCTTAACTACCTTTATATAGAGAACTTAAGAAGCTTAACATGAGATTATTAATTTGGTTGGACTGATTGATTAAATTAGTAGGCAGTAAAGGAGAAGAAAGAATAGGCAACTAGAAAACTAAATAACGTATGAAAAACAACTTTTCAAACATGGGAAAAATGAATAAATAGTTAAGGACTATGAAACATGAAAGAGGAAGCTGCAGTACTGAGCCTTGTGCTTACCCTGACTTTCTCCTTGGTGGCAGTTTCTAGGTATCAGAAGCAAGGAGGGGAACCCAGTAGAGCTCAGTATTCTTACTAAATTGAGGAGATATCAATTAGAATTTTGGGAAGTCCAAGAGAATACACCTTAGCATTAAGTCTAGACTGTCCCTGAAACGAAGGCCACTATAGACAGACCCTAAGAAACTTGACAACGACCTTGAAAGGATCAATCGGATCTGCATGTTATTTAATTGTTTGTCAGAACAAAGTCCAGTTCTCATTTATAGGAAGACGATAAAATTAACTCACTATTCAACCTCAAGGTTTCCTTGAAAATCAAGGAAATGTGATGCTAACCTAGAGAAAAATCATCAGTAGAAACAGACCCAGGAATGACAGAAAGTATGTAACTATGAGACAAGTTAGATTATTATTTTTTTCTTATGTTCTTGAGAAACAGAAAGAAGCTATTAAAAGGAATCAAGTTAAATATCTGTGTATACAAACATACCTGAAATGAAAAATTCACTGCATGGGATTAACAGCAGATTAGACACTGTAAAAGAAAGATAAGCAAACCTGAAGGCATAACAATAGAATTTATTCAACCTAACTAAGAAATTTTAAAAAACTGAAAGAAAGGGCTAGGATATGACTCAGTAATAGAGTGTTTGCCTGGCATAGCCAAGGCCCTAGATTTGATCCTTTGCACTGTAAAAAGATAAACAAATCAAAAGGGAAAAAACAATATCCTGTGGAGAGATGCCTGATGTACATATAACTGAAATTCTAAAAAAAATGAAGACGTGTGTGTGTGTGTGATATATATATATATTTGAAGAAATTAAGGCCCCAAGGCTTCCATATGTGATAAATTCTGAAAGCCACACATCTGTGAACACAGAGCCATACACACAGTGGCACAGCAAAGCATATATAAAGTTGCTGAAAACTGATGATTAGGAGAAAAATTTATAAGCAGCCAGTGGAGAAGACATATTATTTGTGAATAATAAAGATAAGGATACAATGATTTTAGATTTCTAAAACTATGCAAAACAGAAATTTAGAACATCTATGAAGTGCTGAAAGAAAATGCCAACCTATATAATTATAATAAAAGAAAAATTCTTCACACTGAAGACAATTTAAATACTTTTTCAGACAAAAGCTGAAATAATTTGGTACAACAAACTATGCTAATGCTTATCAGAAATTCTCGGGCAAAAGGAAAGTGATATTAGATGGAGCCTTCTGTCTACATAAAGTAATGAAGATATTGGGGAAAAGATGAAATGTGGAATTGAAGGAAGTTTCTCTGAACTTAACAGTGACTCAGAAGATCAGCATACTGATAGAAATTTAGTTTGTTTTATCTGACTTTCTGCCTGCAAACAGTCAAATAATTAAAACCTCCTGTATGGGAGGATTAGAGGAACTCTAGACAGGGGAAAGGAGAGGGAGGGGAAGGAAGGGGGAAAGGGAGTAAAAAAGACGGTGGAATGAGATGGACATCATTACCCTAAGTACATGTATGAAGACATGTATGGTGTGAATATACTTTGTACACAACCATGCTCTGTATGTGTAATATGAATTGTAATGTATTCTGCTGTCATATGTAACGAATTTGAGTGAAAAAAAATTTAAAAAGAAATAAAAAATGTTGCATTTGAATGTTAAAGATTTTTTTTGTATGACTTTTCAGATAAATCTATATTACTATTACTAGATTGCAGATTTCTTTCTTTTTTGCTAAAAAGTGGTCAAATGTTTATGTCTTTTCTTCTACCAATCTTCTCTTAGGTCTTTAGTGGCTTTATCATTAATATTGTCTATGCTCCTCTTCAAACCCGCTCCAATTTATATCTTGGATGAGGTAGATGCAGCCTTGGACCTTTCTCATACCCAGAATATTGGACAGATGCTCCGTACTCATTTCACGCATTCTCAGGTAACAACCAGGAAAAAAAAAAAAATGTCTCGATAATAGTTTGAGTATTTGGTTTTCTAAATTCTTTAGTAAGTATCCAATGTTAGTGAGATGTTTAAGTTTGAAGGGTACTGAAAGTATTATATGTCTGTTTAAATAAGCTTGAGTTCAATGGTCATGGAAGGAAAAAAGTTTTGGGGTCTCTATAAAGAAAGAACCAGACATTAAAATTGTTGATTGTAGCATAAAGGAATTTAGAATTGATTCTTGATGTAATTATTATCTGTTTCTAGCTGACATAGAATACACAATCTGAACAGAACTCTTAGTATACCCTTAACAGAAAAATCAGAAAATTGTGTGGTGTTCAGTGGGGTAACTTTGTTTTTTTTTTTTTCTGCCTGAAATCTGAAGAAAAGTCCCTTGAAGCTAAGAATAGTTTATTTTTTTATTTTTTATTTTTTTAAAGAGAGAGAGAATTTTAATATTTATTTTTTTAGTTTTCAGCACACACAACATCTTTGTTTGTATATGGTGCTGAGGATCGAACCCGGGCCGCACGCATGCCAGGCAAGTGCGCTGCCGCTTGAGCCACATCCCCAGCCCCGAATAGTTTATTTTTATTATACTATTGCTATAGGAACTGTGTCTTCCAAATACAGTTGCATAAATTATGCATTGTACAACTCTGGGGGCTTCATTTATCATTGTTTGTCATACATTATTTATGGTGGCATTTTTGGGACATAAAACTGGTGTCTTTTCTTAATTATATACAGTTTACATTTGGGTTAGAGATGGGGCTGTGGAAACTTGTAGCCTTGTTATTATTAAAATGTATATAATAAAATTTTACTAAGGCAGATCTAGGAGCAGAACAAAAGCAGCAACAAGCTGTCAACCATCAGGAAGTAGTAAAATTGAGCAGCGAAGTACTCAGGGTAACATTGAGACTTCTAAAATCAAATGTGGAAACTAGTCTAATATCGAAATTTTTTTCTTGGCATGTAAGGGCATGCATTTTCTTGGAGTCAAGTATTGGGATGAACTCTTTCAGGAATATTACAATAATTTTTTAATGCTGTTTTTTTTTTTTTCTTTTTCCCTTAAGTTCATTGTAGTGTCCCTAAAAGAAGGTATGTTCAACAATGCAAATGTTCTTTTCAAAACCAAGTTTGTGGATGGTGTTTCTACAGTAGCCAGATTTACTCAAAGTCAAAATGGAAGGATTCCCAAGGAAACAAAATCCAAAGCAAAAGGACCCAAATGAGCATATGATGGAAGTTTAAAATGCAAACCTGCACCTTGACCTGTTTTTCAAACATAATCTTTTAAGAACTTGGGATATAATTTGTTTATATAATGTTATTTTGTTACTTAACTCATATTTTTTCTTCCTTTTTATTATCACTTATAAATGAGCAGATTTCTCTTTTTCACAATTAACATAACTCTGGTCCAATTAGTGTGGTTGTGATTTTATATCTATCAACAAATGCTTGTTCTTAGTGCAAGTTTTTTTAATATGTTTGTATTAGGGAGCCTGAGAATACCTAGTTGGTAGTAAATTCTATATGTAAAAGCAAAAATATAAAGAAAAAGATGAAGTTAAATTACAGGATAAATATAGCTGACAGTCAGCTTTTAATTAGTTTAATTACTAAAGCAGTATTAGTGTATTTTCTATTGCTGATAAAAATCATTTAGGTAAGGAAAAATTGTAAAGCAAGTAGCTGAACAACAAAAGGAACACAAAGCTATTATGCATGCACCAAGCTATTTGAGGATAGTCTCTTATGGACACAAGGCCAGATCCGGGGATAGGAGACAGATCTTGAAAGATTTCCCATTTTAATGATGTTGAAATATCATGTTTTTGTATGTACAATAATTGGTTTCTGCAATCATAAGTAGGTTTTTTATTTTTTTTTTTAAGCTTTATGAGTATTTAAATGGAGTTTGGAAAGAGGTGTGTTGTATGGTGCTTTCTGTGGGTTTATGTGCAGTCTCCCAATGTATTTTCAAAGATTATTGGCACTCTTTAATATTCTAATCAAGGACCTGTTGGTGAATGAGAGTTTAAGATCCAGTGGACTAAATCAAATTGATCTTTCTCTTGAGTCTGATAACTATGAATAAATAGATCTATCTCTCCTACTCTCTCTCAAGTGCTTGATGATTATCATAATTCTTGGTGCCTTTTGCTTTCCATTTCAAAGAGGTGAGGGTAAATTCCTTTAGAATTGGAAAAAGAAAGTTATTACACACTATAAGACTACTATCTATATTTTTTTATTATGTCTTTGTACAATGCCAAAACAGTGTCTCTACTATGAATCCTAATGTTTTGATGTGATCTAATTTTATTGTGGATGAATTATTTGGGGCCATATCCTTTCCTGATACTTGAGCCTTAATTCTTTAGTTATTATCATCCTTTCCCTGATAATAGGCTCATATTTCCTGACCCCGGATTTAACATTGCTCATTCTTCATTCTCTATACATATCTCAGATGTTTTAATAATATCCAAATAATTGATATTTGGGGACAGATTGGAAAGGATTTGATCTGGAGAGAGTTCTGTCTACTGTGGAAGGGAAAGGAGATGAAGCTATAAATACTGAGTTACAGAAGGTCCAGTATCACAGGTAACAGACCTAGAGTTTGTTTCCTTTCACAAAAGTATTCTAATCTGTTGACCAAAATAGCAGTATCCATTCTCACTATCACCAAAAAGTATACCAGCAAAATTAGTCAGTATTATTTATTTTAATATTTCTGATTAAACAATTATAAAATGGTACCTGATTGCTATTTTAGCTAGCATTTTAACAATAACATGGGGTTGAATATTTTGCCATTATGTACTGATTTTCCTTTCCTGTGGTACAATTTTCTGCTTGTGTACTTTTCCTGGTTTTTGTCTTGTATATATTCTCACTATGAAGATTCTCAAATATATTAAATTTTTGTGAGTAATGTTGTTGTTCTTTAATTAGAGGGAAGACATTAAGAGAAATGGGGACATTTATTTTGTACAACTACAATTGATCAAACACTTTTCATTTGTATATATTTTCATATTCATAATAACAGTGAGATAAAAACTGTTCTCAGTATTATATAATTGAGAAAAGTTGAACTTGCTCATGGTGATAACAATAAGAGGCAGAGCCAAAGTGTGGATGTGGCAGTTAGTTCCCAAAACCTGTGGATATGCTATTTGAGTATCCCTTATCTGAAATGCTTTGTACCAGAAGTGTTTCTGATTTTGGAGTATTTCATAAACTACTGGTTGAGCATCCTTAGTCCCCAAATCCAAAATGCTACAAAATCTGAATTTTTTTTAATAATATACTTAGTTGTCAATTCATCTTTATTTATATGTGGTGCTGAGAATCGATCCCATTCCCGCACACATGCCAAGCAAACACTCTACCACTGAGCCACAACCCCAGCTCAAAATCTGAAATTTTTTTGAGAATCATTTAGTTCTCAAAAGGTTTTAGATTTTTAAGTTTAGGATGCTTGACTTTGTTGACATCTTGAACATTTACATTTATTGTTCAGACCTAGATATCCCTGTGTGAGCAATATGTAAAAAAATGTAAATATTTTCAAGAACTTGAAACATTTAAAGAAAGCAATTCTTATTGCTGCCATTTTTAGTATATTTCAGGGAAGCTAACAGCAAATGCAAAGCAAGACTTTAAAATTCCTCTTCCAATATGATGGAGTGATCTATTAAGCCAACACATCAACAGATAATAAGAGATTATGGACAAAATAACCAAAAAACAACTATGTGGTACTTAAGCAAAAGTTAGAAGATTATAAATGGGAGAGAAAATTTGGAGGCACAAGCTAAATTTAATGTTTTAGCACCTTTGACCTAATTGATCCTGGCTGGATTGCCATGATGCAGCTGTGGGACATTTAAATGATAATAGAAAATGTACTGTCTTTCCTAACTACTGAACTAAAGGACAAGCACAGATGATGATGGTAAATGAACTTGGCCTAAGCGATTGACTCCTAAACTATGGGGTTTTGCCCCATAGTAGTGTTGGTCAGAGATTAAAATGATTAAATCTTTTAAATATGCTAAATATTCTTAATCCTTACTATTTCAAACTCAGTGTTTGCCTGCTTACACAATGGGGCATAATTTGTCCCTACTCTATTTTTGTCTTTGTATGAATTGCATACAGGGGAGAACTTTGAGCTATAAAAGAGAATAGATGTGACTAGGTTTACAACATCTTACTTAAACAATCCATTATTGTCCTTCAGGTTTAAGCAAATTTTCCAAAGAAGTGCTCACCCATCCCCATTATAGATGACATTTTGTAACATCTACTAGGAGTACAGCTGCTTTTAAGGCAGGTAGGATCATTAATTCTTGTTCCACACCAAACTCACTGCTTTTAACCATACTATAGCAAATAAGGTTTGTGTAACAGCATGTTCTGATGACATTTTTACCTAAGAAAATGAAAGGCACTGAAGAAAAGATACTTTGTTCATCAGTGAGACTTCAAATTATGTCCTATGGGGTTGAGAAGAGCCAGGTGACATGAGTTTCTGGCTCCTACCAGAGTTGTTTTATGCTATCACCAGAATAGTTTGTAGGAAATGTATGACCCTAAAAATATTCAAATAAAGTTTGAAAGTTAAAAATACTACTTTAGACTAGATTGGTATAGTATATAGTCCACCTGTGTGTCTGTTTTTTTTCCTGTCTTACAGTGCCAACAAAAATGGAAATGGACCAGATATTGGTTGTTACTCTAGTCATGAGAGAAATCCATGGGAATGATGGCTTTCTATTTAGATAATTGGAGTGTGGTGCAGGGTGTTCTAAAGATGATGTTACTAAAAGTAAAAAGTAGTCATGAAAGTTAACTCAGATTTTTAATTTATTCTGTATCTATATAGGTCTTATGATTTGCCAACTACTGATAATAATATGTATTCTCCAATACATACCCTTCCCACTCCTGTACCCTAATCTCCAATAGGGAAAGGACGGTCACAGTCTCCTTTAAGTGTAAACTCAAAATTTTAATTTATTCTATATCTATGTAGGTCTTATGAATTGCCACCTATTGTCAATTGTGTTAGCACTTTAAAGGAGACTGTGACTGCCCTTTCTCTATTGGAGATTAGGGTACAGGAGTGGGAAGGGTATGTCTTGGAGAAGAAAGGGAACAAATACTTGTAATACATTATAGTAACATATATATATATATGCATTGAATGCATATATCAATAAATGCAAAAAGGGCTGAAAAATCACAAAGATAGAGGCTGGGGTTGTGGCTCATGGTAGAGGGCTTGCCTTGCATGTATGAGGCACTGGGTTTGATCCCTCAGCACCATATAAATAAATAAATTAAGGCATTGTGTTATGTACAACTAAAAAAAAAATTTAAAACCACAGAGGTACAGCTATTTTGTGGGGATAGTGGGGAGGGGGGGCTCGGGTCCCGAACTCTGAAGCACTCAACCACTGAGCCACATCTCCAGCCTTACTTGTATTTTATTTAGCTATAGGATCTTACTAAGTTGTTTAATGATGATGCTGAGGCTGGCTTTGAACTTTCAATCCTCCTGCCTCAGCCTCCCTAGCTGCTGGGATTACAAGCATTTGCCATCACACCAGGCCAGAGCATTTTCTTTGAAGAGATTTCATAAATTGGTCTTGATTGACAGGTGAGTTTGGTGGTTTATTAGATTATGCAGTTATAACACTGTTAGAACTGTATTATATCATGCATTCATTGAATAGAGGTACTTGCTACCTTATGTGTTAGATTAAAAATGTGAGAATTTTAAGACGAATGGACAAAGTATTCTGAAAGATTGACAATCTAGTTCAGGAAATTCTGACTTCACAAATTTGGGGATAGGTATTTTTTCCCCTTTTGATTTGTAGATCTTACTATAATTTCTAAATACAGTTTGATTTCATAAAATATATATTGAATTCTTCAAAAATTCTTTTTGTATCCCTGAATAGTAACTTTTTGTTCCTTTAACTAATTTCAGCCTCATAATACCAATACAAAACTTGTCATTATAGCTTTAAAAAACAAACAAAGTTACTAGATACTAACACAGTGTGTCAGTAACATTTTAAAGAGAGAACACATGAGGATTCTGAAAAGAACACCTACTTGATAGGACCCACATAGGTCCTCTTGCAGCCCTGGATATAAAGAGTGATACAGATATCATCTACTGACAGTAGATGAGTTTGCAGATGAGAAAATGTTGTGATAGTATGGAGAGATAATACTTTTTTTTTTTTTTTTTTAAAGAAAGAGAGAGAGAATTTTTTTTTTTTAATATTTATTTTTTAGTTTTCAGCGGACACAACATCTTTCTTTGTATGTGGTGCTGAGGATCGAACCCGGGCTGCACTCATGCCAGGCGAGCGCGCTACCGCTTGAGCCACATCCCCAGCCCCAAGAGATAATACCTTTTAAGCTCTAAAATTTACAAATTAGTATGCCTGTCAATTTTACAGATACTTTATCCTCACTTAATCCTAGCAACAATCATGTAAAGTAGCAGGACTATTCCAATTTTATAATATGTGCTGCAACAGAGGCAGGTGAAATAACTTGGTCAGGAATGACAGACAGAATAGAGAAAAGGTTTTTATTTTATTAGATTTCATTATGAGAACTATTTTAAGTGCATCATAGTGTTGTGGTCAGTTTTCTTGTAACATGTTAGAATTCACAAGTTGTGCATTAAGAGCATGCAGATGGCATTGTATAAATTATGAAATGTGTTAAAACTGTGCTAGGAAATAATTTATTTTAACAAGACTAAAAATCCTTTAACATTTAAAGAGTCATTTCACTTAGGAAGAAAAACTAAGAGATCCTTATACTTTGTAGTAGAAATGCCAAACAATTGCATTTATTCATAAATAGGTTAAATGAATCATCCATCAGGCAGAACACTTAAAAGTCCTTGTTATGTCAGGGAGTAGTGAAGTTATTTAATGCATGACAAGAACTCAAACTACAGGATAATTCACAGCCATCCAAGTAGAAATAATCTAATAAGAAAGACTATTAATTATTCCTTGCTGTTTTTTTTTTGTTGTTGTTTGTTTTCTTAAAAGTCATGACCCTAATTTCTCAGTAATGATTTAATACTCAATATTTTTGTGAGATTTAGGAAAACTCCTAAACACTTTGAGACTGAAGTTTCAATAAAATTGAAGTACACTTACTTCATCCTTTTTCTCCCACTTGTAACAACTAAAATCCCCAGAAAAAAAATTCATAATGCTGCTAGTGAAAACACTGAAAAGTAAATAATAGCATATTTGGTAAGGAAATTAAAAAATGAAGAATAACCAGTAGTTTTGAATTTTCTCTTTTGTTCTCCCATATCTCTCACCTTAGGTTTTAGGGTAGCACAAATCAGTGTGAACAGAAAAATGTCCAAGGGGGAAAATATATTTATTTTTCTGGTCAGAGGAAGAGGAAAAGGGGCATCTAGAATAGTTGTACAGAAAATATTCAATTAAAAAAAAATTTTGCCAGCCCAACCCAATGCAGGCTCCAGAAATGAAGTTGTACTTGGATAGGAATGATAGCAGTGGTAGCCATATTGGTACCTAAAACTGTTACCGCTGTTGACCGGTGACGAGTTCTTGCTTCCCCAATGTTGAAGAATAGCACCAAAGAAGCACGCCGAGGCAAGGTCAGAGTAGAAATTAGAAGTTTATTAAAGGACAGCAGAAAAGACTTCTCCCGGAGGAAGAAGGGGACCCAAAAGGTGGAACCCGTGGAAGGGATGTTGTCTCCCCTTTTTATAGTTCTTTCAGTGATGGAATGTAGGTGGGAAGGACCGAGGGGTGGGACACAGGTGGGCCAAAGAAGTAATCTGGTCAGGAAGGACTTGAGTCAGCACCTTTTTGCTGGGGGCTGTTCATTAACATTTCTTTGAGGTGG